GTGGAGGTCAGGCTGTGAGGTTTTGAATCCTGGCGAGATGGGCTCTTGGCTCTTGCTCTTGGAAAATAGACTACAGAAACAAAATCGGGCCCCCTTCTTCTAACCTCAAAAAATCTGGAGGATCTAAGCTAAGATTCCCAACAAATGGAGCCCTGTGAATATCTTCTTCTAACCTCTCAAATCTGGAGGATCTAGTCTAAGCTTCCTGAATATGAAAGAGGGCATAGCCCCCAATGGCCACCCGGGCCACCCGACGCTCGGAGCCGGGCTCCGCCTCGGAGCCTCGTGGCTCAGGTCGCCAGGGCCAGGAGCTGCGGCAGTTCATGCGCGACGGCGCGGAGGCCGCGGTCGGTCTGGGGGGGGAGGGTTTCGGCCGGGCGAGCGAGCGAGCCGCGTTTTTCAAGCCTCTCTTTTTTTTGGGTTTTGCCGGCAGGGGCCGGGGCGGGGGGGGAGGGGGGGGAGAATTTGTCCAAAATGTCAAATCAAGTTTGCACCAAAATTGTCCAACAATGCATCCATTTTACAAGAATGTTGTTCAACTTCCTTTTTGGAGTTTTTCCCGGCTTTGGCGCAGGGGGGGATGGGTATATAACATCTTGGTTTTTGGTTTGGCGCGTGACGGGGGGTATATAACATCTTGGTTTTGGGTGTGGCGGGAGAGGTGGGGGGGGGGGGAATCAAGAGTTAAGGGTAGTTTGACTGAGTAGTTTTAGGGTTTCCCTTTATCCTTGTTTTTGGGATGTTGTTTTTTTGAGAATCAGATATCAAAAACAAGAGAGAAGAGAAGGAACGAAAGAAAGAAAGTAAGAAAGAAAGAATGAAAGAAAGAAAGAACAAAAGAAAGAAAGACAGAAAGAGAGAGCGAGAGAGAGAGAGAGAGAGTCTATTCTTGTCCAATGACCATGGGTTTTGGGCTTGGAAATTCCTCGGTATTGCATGTACCTAAGGTCTCCAAACTGATTGCATGTTTTGGAGTCTTGATTTTTTGCGTACCCCTAGTTTTAAAGAAAAGGTGTGCGTGTTTACGAGCTGACCATGGGTTTGGGGCTTGGAAATCCCCTAGTTTTAAAGAAAAGGTGTGGGCTCTGGTCCCAAACCACAGAAATGTCGGTCAGCCGGACTCCATTCTTTTGGTTCCTTCTATGGCGGGGGGCTTTAGAGACAGTTCTTAGATACATGGCTTCGCAGGTCCCTTTCAGGTGTTTTGCAAGACAACCCACAAAGGGCTTGTCCACGTCCTCGAACAAAAGCGGCGTTTGTCAGGGTCTCAAGCATTGGGAGCGTCAGCCCTGTAACTACTTTGTCGCGAAGCGGGCTCCCCAGGGGCACCATCGGGCTTGTGAACGTGAGGAAACGTGAACATCTTTCAGACACGAACTCGTAGGGAGCGCCCCAATACCGGGATTCTAATTTGAACGACGCTTATATATAGGAAACTGAAAGGAGCCGGAAAGGAACGAAACCTTCTATTGTTCGAGGGTAACTTCCCCATTTGCTCCATGTATTCTTGTCAATAGCAAACCACCAAACACCTGGAAAAACTGCTGGTTTTGCAAAACGAGAAATCAGCCCCTCGAGTTTGTAGGGTGCCCTGTTCCGCTTGAACCTATTGACAACTTATTTTGCAGGCTCACTACATATGTGGACACCAAGAACACGGGCAAAAGCTGTCCCAGCGGATCACAAAAAGGGAACCAAACAGTTCCTTCCATTTGCTGATGAGCATCGTTTCTTGTCTTCCACCTGTTGGTTATAAGGGAATCTCTTGTTGCTGGACACATGTTTTGTTTCGAATCCGTGGCCTCAGGAAACTCGGAAAAATACATCCCTTTCAGTGTTTCAAGGGTTGGGGTTCGAATCTTTCATCCTGAGTCCATCGCCTCCATCGGCCTCATATATGTGAGGTGGGACTCGCCGATTGTTTCGCTTCGCTCGCAGGTCTTCAGCATGAACGGCCGCGTGGTGAGACCTGACCACTCCGAGTTGTCGCTCTTCCCCTTGGTGCCGCCGCCGCGCTTCGACGCGTCGACGAGCGCCAGAGCTCCGTATGTGTGGAGGAGGTGGTTCTACCCGGATTAGACGGGATCATTCTAGAGGTTGATTCCTATTCCAACCATTCTTTGCAGCCATGTTTTTTTTGAAGCACCAGCCATGTTTTTCAGGGTTGTTGAGATTCTAGTACCCTCCCTTCCACTGCCATGGCACCGCTGGGAGGGTACCAAGATTGGTTTCCTCTGCAAGGGAGTTCATGTCTGGTGCTATGTTAGTTGGAGGGGGGGTAAGGCTCATAGAAACAATTTGAACAAGTATAACTTCTGTGTTGGAACAAGACGTCGCTGGGTTTTGGGAGCAGCTTGGGTCGGAATTTATGCTATTGATTTGGGATGGAGGCAGGACACCAACTTGCAACTACCAGAGCCGAGGGACTCGTTTGACCGTAGCTCACGTGGGATGACCGCCCCGGTTGGTAAGTGGCAAACCCGTCACTGAGCCGTCGCTGCTCTTCCCTCGCTCGTGGGGATCTTGCTTCCAGAAAATGGCCAGGCGCCCATGGATTTTGGTTGGGTTTGAAAAGCGAGGTGGGTAATGGGGGATCAATCATTGAGGATCAATTTTTGAGTCTTTGCGGCTTGTGCAAAATGTCCTGGCCCCTACATAGGCAAGTGGGCAAAGGTTTATCACGCCGCAGCAGGTGAAGTGGGGTGTGTCTTGAGATGACGGGACCCTTTGGACAGAGCTGTGTTTTCCCGGACACCGCAAGGAAAGCAGCAGGTGAAGTGGGGTGCGTCTTCTCCACATGACAGACCCCATTTTGGACGGAGTTGTTTCTGTTTTTCCCGGACACCGCATTAAAAAAAAAAAAAAAAAACACAAGAACCTCAGAATGGGATTGGCTCTCCTTGAGCGAGGAAGACAGCTGTTGTAGGAAACAGCTATAGTGGTGGCTGGGATCTGGGACGAATAAGAATGGCTCATACTGGCCCACACCAGTTTGTCACCTTGGCTTTCTTTTTTGGGAAACGAGGGTGTCTCACAAAGTGAGCCGGTTCTCAGCGCGAATCCCGAAGCGGCCAGATGCAGACCTTGCATCCCTTCTTCGTGGGGGTGGAGCGCCTGGTGCGCCGGGGCATCTCAGGGCATCTCAGGGCCTCAGCGACAAGAACTCAGCGGCTTGAGGTCTGAGGATGTTTTTTTTTTTTTTTTTGTTCTGGCTGGATATGGCTGTCAAGAATAGGTACCAATGGGAATTCTGGTAAATGGAAAGAAGGACTAAGACCTGCGGTCCATATCCTGGTGGTTCAATTTTGATTGGTATGGGAGCGAAAGGAGCCGTGACAAAGTTCTCAACGCCTCTATTGCATGGGTCGGTTCAATGGGCGCTACCCGCCTGGCGTTCTGCGCATGTTGCCCGACCGCTAGTTTCGCTTGCTCACGTTTCGTGGCGTGCGCTGTTATGGAGAGCTCAAGAGCTCAACTTACCCCCAAAAAACATAGGTGGTCATTTTTTCCTTGGATGAAACCCAGGTCCAACGCGAGACTCCTTATCTTAATGTTCTAGGGGTGAGTTCCCCATTCTTTCCAAGGACCCTTCTTGCTACACCACGGACACAGACCCTTTGTGAAATGGCTGTTTTTGTTTGTGATCTAGGGATGATGTGTCAAATAGGGATTTGGATCCCCAAACCAGCACACCCCAACGCTTTTCCGTCCCATGTCCAAAATCCCGTTCGTACTGTGGCACAAGCAGTGGTGCTGGAACTAGATTTCGATTTTCCAAAATTGTTTTCCTAACAAATGGTTTCCTAACAAATGGTTTTCCTAACAAATCTTAGGGATCCATTTCGTTTTCCCTAAGTTTCCTCTAAGCTAAGATTCCCAACAAATGGATCCCCCACTTCGGATTTCGAAGTTTCCAAGCTCAGAAGTTAGACCGATTCAATCTAGAAAGCGGGTTGGCCACGTGGCGAATCTGTGGATCTCCTGTGGAATATGAAAGAGGGCTAACAAAAAGGCATGGTTGTTGTTGGGAACATTGTACATTTTGCTTCTTGTGGTTTAGTTCCAACCACTGAACAGCTAACATCGGAAAATGTTTGCTCCCCTTCCAACGTGAACCAAGAAAGCACCAGACGGGAAGAACGTGCGAAGAATGCACTCCTCGCGCTCCTCCAAACCGTAACCCTAGACCCTAGGCCTTGGTGTGTCGGAGACCGTTGCCTGCGAGATCCTGAAGGTGAGTCCTTCGCAGACGTGTTCAGACGTGTGGCGATCCCGGCGGTCCCGGAAAACCAAAAAGATATATGGTTGTGGGTCAAAACCTAAGGTGCCATTTTGGGGATGGTTACCACTCCGCTGTTGTCTTTTTAGAAAGCTTTCTGGGTGTTCACCGGGGCACCGGAGTCTTGACCCATTGCCATATACCTCACTTCCTGAGCTCACCTGGACAAAAAAGTCAGTCGTTTTGGGGTTGGTTGCCATTTTAGCGGCAAATAGAAAGCGCGGTTACCTTTTTGTTGGGCCATCCACTCGGGAAGGGAGATACCCTTCCTGACAGGGAAATGGCCTCGAGAGGAACCTGATCTTCCAGGTACCGTCCCTCATGTTGATGCCACTAGCAGAAGGCAATTGTGGGAGGCTACCTGGAAGCAAATTGTCGTTTGGAAGATCGACCCGCTTTCAGGTGCCATGGCAACCTTTCTTTGAATAAACACCTAAATGGCCATGGGTCAAAAGCCCGTGCGTACCCCCAGTGAACATCCCAATCCCCACTAAAATAGACAAGAATGGGTGGTGCACCTACCCCAAAATGGTACCATTGGTTTTGACCCACAGCCAAATCTCAAGAGAAACATGCGCAGTAAATCCATTTGGTTGTTCGCGTGGTTTGGGAGCCGTTCCGAAGATGGCGGGTACACAAGCTTGCGTTTGTAGGAAGGGAAGGAAAACGAGGAGCTACCAGCAGTTCCTTATAAGACATGAGAGTTTCTCACACTGAGAACATGTCGCATTGCGAGGAAAGCGTTCGCCTAGACCTCCAGTCCGGGGGGGTCCGTTTCTGGAGGCTCATCTTGAGGTGCCCTTTTGGTCCCGGGTTGTATCCAAAAAGGGCGGACCCATGAAGGCCCTAAAGGGTGTTCCCTTTCTACTTTGAGATATCCGGCAGAAGGCATTGCCCTGGAACCCTAGTTTCTGGCCAGAAGCCCCCAAATGGAGTTTTGCACACTTTCGAGGGCCCAGAAACATGGACCGACCAAGTTCTCAATCGGGCTAGGATCTTGTATGGCTTAAAGGGATACCAAAAAGAGTACCCTTTGCTTTAAGTGCCCCAAACTCGCAGGTAGCCTTTGAGTTGTAACTTGGATTGGTGGGAACTGGGGGATTGAACCCCAGAAATTCTTGCATGGTTTCCCAACGCAACCCCCGCAACATCCTCACACCACTCCAAAATATCTGCGAGGGAAGCGGGTCCCTTGCTTGAGGCTGTTCGAGCTTTCACATAGAGACAGGCAATCTACTTGTTCGTGGCTTCCCTGGAAGCATTAGGATCTTTTCGTTTCACCATTTTCGAATTTGGACACCAGGTGGCAACAGCTCATGTCAGATAGACGAAGGATCAGGGACTGGGTAAGCGTGGATTAGTGCGGGAGATGGTTTGGGATCGGGGGAAGATGTGCAATGACTAGCCAGCTAGGAAGGAGATTCTTCCCTCATCCTCTTTTCTGTAATTTCGCGGCCCAAAGCGCGCCTAGGTCCCCCAGTGGTGCCCTTTTACCCTTTTTGCCTACTAAATAGACTACAGAAAAAAGGGTACCGTTATTCTAACCTACTGGAGGACCCAACGGCACAGGACACGTGAGGTGAGTGGACAACTGTAAGCATGGGGACTCAAGACCGTGGCTACTGACGGTTAAAGCCTTGGCTACTGACTCAGCACCCGGCCCTTTTATCTCGGTGAGTTCAGAGCTCAAGCATCCAAAGCGCCGTAGGGCTCCAACCATTCCACGGCCTGGGGTTTGGTCCTTGCTTATCCCTGGAGTCTCCATGACCCCTTAATGGATCCATGGCCAAATTATTTTGGGTAATGACCTCATTTTTGAAGGGCCATGGAGACTCCAGGTCCAAGGAATTTTCCCCTCGCGCCCCCCAAGCCCTGGCCGACAGGAGGTCAAGGGCAGCGGGAAGACGGCGCAACGCCTGGAGCGAGTCGACGAGAAGTTTGGGTCCGGGTGGGTGTTCTTTGGGGCGCTTTTTGAACCCCGCAAAGGTTGAAGGGGCTCCTGGTTCTGCTCCGACATGATTGAGTTTAAGTGTTTCAGGGCAGACCAAATATAAGCTGAACATACAACTCTTCGGTGTATTCTGGGATTGGCGTTTGGACTCAAGGACACCGACCCCCTCTTTCCAGGCCTTTTTTTTCTCCAGGCCAAATATAAGCTGAAAATACAGCTGATTGGCGTTAGCAAAGGACACCCACACACACAGCCTCTAAACCTCGTTTCCTTTTTGACACCGGGTGTAAAAGCCTGGCTCAGGAAATGAGGGAGGGGATGAGCCCAGCTGAGCCAAGCCTCGTGTGCCCAGCCCCCTTTTTCAAAGTGCCCTTTCCAGCTGTTACCAGTCCCCTTTCCTGGGCCGCAGTTGGCAAAAAAAGGAAAAGAGTCCCAAGCGCTGGCGCGGCAGCCTCCAAAAAACCCAACGGCGTCAAGTTTGAGTGACCGCCTCATGGAGGGCAGGAACCCAAGGGTATCAACTCCTGTGGGAAAAATATGAACGAGGGCCCCCCCCAAAAAATAGCATGGTCGGTGTTGGGAAAAAACCATGTTTTCCATATATATGTTTATTTATATTTCGCTTTTATGGTGGTTTAGTGGTTGAACTCCAACCACTGAACTGCTTTTTTGTTTAAACGTTTGTTGCTCCCCTTCCTTTGGGCTACTTCGGGTCATTTGACCTCGCCGTTTTTGGACGGGGGCTCCCTGGCGAAAGGCAGTAGGTGGCCCTTGCCCACAAAGAACACGAAGAAGAGAATCTCCAGGTGGGAAATGACACATGGGGTCCCCATTTTGGGCCCATCGTCGTTGAGCATGGGCAAAAATCCGCAGGAACTTAACCAGCATGAATCTACCTGGACCCTCAGAATTCCCTCGAACATGGGTTATGGCACCAAACGTATGGAGTGAGTTGCCTTTTCTATGGGTAGCTTGAGGGTTCAGATAAATCATATTTCGGATTTGTGTTGGCTTTGAATTGGTTTAGTTTACGAGTCTGCACTGAGAAGGGGTCAATAGTTGACCCAGTGCTTCCAGTTGTCCGTAAAGATCACCAAGGGACTCCAGCACTTTGAAGCCTGGAACCTAATTCGCATGGCTCTCGCTCCCGGCATTGGCCCACGGGTGGGTTCTCAAATCTTCCGGAGCTTCCATGGAATTCTCACGGTATTGGCATTGCACCAGGCTGTCAGGTTTCAGTTCTATACATTAGTAGGTGTCCGATTTTTTGGTTGTTTTGGTAGAGAAGAGATGGGTTTCGATTCCTGGTTGACCTGGTTGCTTCATCATCCAGCAGGGGCAGTTATTTTCCCTAAAGGACACCTATGGTTCTATATAACTTGCGGATATACCGTGAACAATTGGACTGGCAGGCGTCCTTGAAGGTATGTCCATGAAAGAGGGGGGGTGCATCAGGTAAAAATAATAACTTTGAAAAACAAAAAACAACACATTCCATGCTCAAACGGAAAGCAAAAGGACACCAAAGCCTTCTTTTGGGAACCATATAAACCAGCCAAAGAATTAAGTAGCGTTGGGTGGGGTGGGCTGGTTGAGGCTGGTTTGCAGAAAACCTGGCTTCCGCGTCAACCAGGCACCCTGCTCCTTTAAAGGTTCACGCGGGGCAAATTCAACCCTGAGTTCAGCTGGATTTAGCTGTTTTTGGGGTCTGGACCGTTTTACTGGCAACAAGCCCATCCTAGGGAAATGCCCCAAGTAATCATAAAAAAAACACCAAATTCGCCAGGGTTTTATCTGGACATCGGCGAAAAAAAGGTGCTTCCCAAGAGGGTGTATTTTCAGGGTGTAAAAGGAAACCTTTTGGGGCCATGTTCCTGGGGGATGCTTCAAGCGTTGGACCCCCGCGTGGTGTTCCGCTGGGCGGACGGGGCGCTTTCTTTGGCAGGACTGGCGCTCCGCGGCGCTGCCGGCGCCGGTGTACAGCGTGACGAAGGTCGGCTGAGGGGGGAGGGGGTGACAAGCAAGTCCAAATAGAACGGACTCGAAAAAGAAGGACTTTAGCCCCTTGTTGCGAACCTGGACCGAACCTGCACCCTCAAAGTTCCCGGGGAGAAAGGGATGATTTCCCAATATTTTCGGTTAAGAATAGGGGATCCCAGGCAAGCCCGACCACACGCGGACCCTGCAGGCATTTGCCTTTCTTGGGTCACGCACTCAGCAATTCGGTGCTCACACCTCCTCTGGCGGCTGCTCGGCGGTATGCCTCACGGATGGTGGCACCTGGCAGCTGCTACCGACGCATTGTCGCAGCTTTGGCGGAGCAGTGTTCGCAGGGGACATCCTCCTGTCCAGTAGTTTTGCTTATGCTCTGGGTTGCTCCGGGGGTGCTTTTGAAGCAGACCTCCTCACCTTGGAGCAAAAGCTGGACCTTCAGGTTGCCGATCTTTTCCAGCTCCTGCCCAAGGTGGCGGCAATGGATGCATGGTGGGAGTTGGCGCAAGCGTGTCCTTGCAGATTGCAGAAAAGGAATTTCGCGTCTCTTTGTGGTTTTCCCCACGTACCCCCAAGGGTGCCGCACCTTTCGCCTCCCAACAAACACACACGCACACCACTAGACCCGACCAAGCCCAAATCCATGCTCCGTTCGACCCCCGTCAACGTTTCCAACCGCGCCAGGACCGCGACACCAGCCGCTGGAGCAGCTCGCTGCGCAGCTTGTTCTTCGGCTTCGGAGGCGCCGATCGATTCAACCCACGGATCCGTTGCTTCCGCGCGCGGATCCCACAGGCCGCATTTGGGGAAAAGTCGCTGAGGGCGCGAACAAAACAGACACAAACAGGTTCGTAACTCACCCTTTTTTGAGAGGTTAACTCACCCATTTGCTGAACGATGAATATGTGTTTGTGTTTTTTTTTGCTGGTTCAGATGACTCTATCACTGCAAAGTGTCATCCTTTTCAAGGGGCTTCAAATGGAAGGTTCGGGCCTTACACACGCCTTGGGTTTTGCGCATCTTGGGTCGAAAACATTCCCCGCGCCTTAAGGGCCCGGAGACCGATCCTGAGGAAACAAAATCGATGCCCGCAAAAGTCGTGGAGACACGCATCAGTCCAAGGTGTTGCCGCAATCCAAGTATATTACCCCCCCTTTGCCAGGTTTCACAGACTTGGATGTCTTTTATTTCCCAAGGATCCAAGTCTGACCAGGTTTGGGCGAGTTCCAGGGAAACCGCCGCTCATTGCCCCGTGTTCGGTCGTGTTTGTCGCGAAGTCGGGTCAGGTCTTTCGCCGGTGCGGCTACCGCTCTACAACATTGCGCCTCGACCAAAATGGACGCCGGGGAATTGGAGTACGAAGTCAGAATTCTCGGCTCTCATTCTTCTGCACATCAACCTGAAATGACCTCGAATGCGATCCTTGTTAGCGGAACCTGAAAGCGGTTCTATGTGAACTTGCAGAGTATTCAGACTTCAAATTCCCTGGCGGCGAGCTCAGGTCTTCGTGTTCGACCCTGCAGAGGTCAGCAGCCAAAAAGGGATGGGCAAAAACGGGGCTGGAGTGGAGTCGGGCTAATGCGAGAAGTGTTTTTGAAGCTCCGCATGGGAACGCAGGATTTCTCACACAAATGTTCCCGGATCTAAGTAGATCCGGTTCATTAAAAGAGGGGTGTGCCCTAGTGCGGGAATTCACGCAACGTTTGGAGGGGGACACCTCTCAAAGAACGATGGGCTTATGAATCCGTTGTCAACATTACGAATCAGGGAACGTGCGCTTTCGTCTTGCGTTTTGGAATGCTATGCCCTCCTTTTCGAAGGTTCGCGCGCGAGCTAACCTACAGTGTTTATTTTCTGGGGGCCGAGGGTCATGTCCATGTGGATGGTTGCGAAATCCGTTCGAGAAGCTGTGAGAATGACCCGTGTAAACCATCCCCTCTGGTTTTCTTCAAGGGAGTCTTAGGTTCATTTCCAAGACTCTGGGTCATTCCCTGCTGAGCACCAGAAAGGAAAGAGCCACAACGGTTGTTACCGTATTTACGTTGGGGAATCATTCCAGCGTTTCTGAACGGTGGTGCGACATGGATTTCGAACACATCCAAAGTAGGTCTCCTTCATTTTGGGTAGAAGATGACATTGGTTGACATTAGTTTTACCGCCAAGGGGGCTGTTCTGGTATGGCATGGCCCGTGCTTCGGGCCTCAGCCAGAAGCAACTGGCGAAGTTACTCGTCTACTCTTGGTTTGGCGAAGCCATGTTGGGAGTTGTCCAATTTTCCCTCCTTTTTTGGGTGTGTTTTGTGATAGTGTCACTCATATGGCCATTAGGTGCATTGTGGGGATTGAATCGGATGTTCACTAGGGTACGATTTGACCCATCTGCACCACCTAAGAAACCTGGAATGATTCAATTCCCCTGTAAATTACTCACAAACGTTCTGGTTTCCACCATGGTTTCATTTCGTGGCGCGAACGGATTTCGATGTCAACCATCCACAGTATGAGTCACACTCCATATGGGTATGGGTACCTATTTTTTTGACCCAAAGACATATGAGTCACACGCCGGGAGGGTCCTCCCCGGGTTTCGTGAAGGTAGAGGAGCTCAAAACGGCGGTGCAGCTGCTGAACCAGGAGATGCGATGGGATCGGGGATGGGGGCAAGGCAGTTGAAACGGGGGCACCTTGTCCTCCATTTGCTTTTTTTTTGTATTGTTTATTTTATTTATTTTTTTAAGGAATTCATCACTACTAGAAATATTTGTATTTATTCCTGGGGCCTTAACCAAATATAAGTTGTACCGTTTGAAGTGAACCACTCACTTCCCGAGTTTATGCTTTTTGGGTTTGGACCATTTTAGTGGCCAACAAAAAGTTCAGGCTTGTTTTGGACCATCCACTCGGGAAGTGAGACGAGTTAGATTTTCTCCGAGGGATCCTCTCGGGGCCACAAATGGGTATATGTCGTTGTTTGGGAGACCCACCAAAACATGGCTGGTCTGATCGGTATGATTTCAACGGCCAGAAAAACGATTTGGAAACAAGCGTTTCCTGTAAACCTGCAGGCTGTGGGTCAAAGCCAATCCAATCCCATTTTGGGGGTAGGCGTCACCCATTTTGGTGTATTTTAGTGGGATTGGGATGTTCACTGGGACTGGGGGTACGGGGTTTTGACCCATGGACACTTTTGTAAAGCAGTAATCATCCTGAAAGGACGTCTTGCTTCAGAGGATCCACCACTATAGTTTAGACAACCTCCGTTTTGGGCTTCAAGATTTAACGCCTTTGTTTCTTGTCTGGTCTTGTTTTAGTGGTATGCATGATGCATGCATGCATACCAGGACCAAAAAAGCTGAAGCCGCTGACATGTCGAAGGACCTAGACCGTCTGGGGATAGCTAATAAGTAAGACACTAACACTGAAGTCGTCTTTCTTTGCAACCACTTGCGGGTGTACATATATATATATATATATACGATGGTTGTCCTTTTGGTTCCCCTTTAAACACACACACACACACACAAAAAGGGGGTACCACCAAAAATGACACATCCATTTTTATCAGCATGCCATGAGTTCGAACCAGGGAAATGGCTCAGTTTTTGGTTTGGGCCTGTTGCCGTCAACCTTTGGACGGGGGTTCGGTCGAAATTCCAGCGACCGGATCCGGCGACGAGTTGATGTAGGCCTAAAGGGGGGCGCAAATCCTGATGTGTGTCTTTTTCAGGGGACCCCTAAACCAGCCATGGTTTCCCTGAAGGGGCTTGTCTTTTTCCACCCCCCCCCCCCCACATGGCGGGTTGTGTTTACGTTTCTCTTTGGTTTCCCCCACAAACAAAGGGGGGTACCTACATATATTTCAGGATGTGGAATTGTAGTACTTGCAGACCAAGGGTTCCACGACAAACCAAGTCTATGGATTCCGTTGATCCCATGGCGACACGGTCTGAGCCGAGCCACTTCACTGACGTGGCTTGTTGGTTGGGTCTTCAACCAGTACATCACGATCAGGAACCTGGACTGGGAGGCCTTTCCCCATGTACCCGGTCCCTAAGGACCTCCGAGGCGCGCTCCTGGCGCTTTGTGAAGTCCAGCAGACTTGAAATGGAAGCCCACCGACAGATCTCAGCGAGCTTTCCAATAAGGACAGTCCAGTTGAGCCAGTCAGGCCGCATGCCCTGCAACACAACATCCGCCGGTGGAGGGCGGTGCTGCGGTGGTCTTTGTGCGTTGATCTCCTACATTGCTTTTTTTTTTTTTTCCGGTAGGCAGTGTTCCTTGAAGAGGCCACCTGTCTAAGGCCGCGCTAAGGGCCTTGGCCTCCCCATACCCACCCCACCCAAACGCCCAAAGGAGTTGTTTCAAAGGGAAGCTAAAGGGAAAACCACCCTTTGGAGAGTTCCAAAACGGACGCACCCCATGGCTTCGGGAAGCCACTTTAATCCCGCCAGATGCCGCTGCCGGCGAAGATGCACTTTGTGATGGTCGCCCCAAGTCGACACGGACTCAGCCGTCACAATGGGTCGTCGACCCTTTAAGTCTAGCAGTAGTGCCCTTTTGCCCTGTTTTTGGGGGAGGGTTCCCCTACTAAAATCGACTACAGAAAAAAAGGGTGCCCTTATTCTAACATCTCTACTGGAGGACCTAGAAGTGCTTCCGGGCATTTTGCTCTACCAGCACCTCCCAACAACTGCTCTTTCCCATGTCCAAAATCTCAACTGATGTCCAAGAGCCAGCTGCTTAGTTTCCCCTTGCTATGGCATCCAGCTGGACTCACTGGGTTCTGCCCTACCGCTGTAAGGGCAAAGGAAACGGGCCATAACGGGCCATTGGGCAGCCAAGGCAAGACCCGATCAGTCCCCCAATTTCCACGACGCATTTTGTTGGGGAACCCGTGTTTTGAGGGTTGGTTTACAGGGAAAGCAAAAAGGGAAACCCATTTCGGGGGAGGGGGGTGCGATTCCCATTTTGCGACACGCCCACATGTCGCCCTTTCTTGGGCCAATTCGCTCAAGTGAGGTGTTGGCTCCGGAAATTGAACATCCGGAACTTGGAACTTGTTGGTTCGTTTCTCTTCGGAAGCGACACATTCCACCACCGGAATTCTCCTGTTCTTCTGTTTTTCTTTTGTTGGATTCAGACTCCGAAACTTGTTCGTTTCTCTTCCGAAGAGACCTGTTCATCGGTCCATCGGTTTTTGCCAAGACTCGAAGGATGCCCCTGCCAACTCGTCACTCGTGAGCCCCTTTGAGAGCCAGAGCCAAGGGGGGTGAGAGCGGACCATTTGGAGGGCCCAAAAATGTGGGTCAAAACCTAAGTTGCCTAAAATGGGGATGGTTACCACTCCACTGTTGTCTTTTTGGAAGGCTTTCTGGGTGTTCAACGGAGTACCGGGATTCTGACCCATAGCCATATAGGTCCTAGGTCAAAGCAGGATCCCTTCTGTGCTACTGAGGTGCTCAGACCAATGCCTGGGACGAGGAGGCCCCGATTTTTGTTCCCCTCGAAAAGAACGTCGCCACTGGCGAGCTTGCTACTTGGGGTCGTGGTATTTGGAATCACTCTCCCTACTCCACATACCCTGTCGTTTAGGTATCATATCAACCCCTTTAAATACCAAAAAGGAGGTATTTACCATGGAAAACGAGGTGTTTCAGAGCATACAACAAAAATGTGACACTATTTGGAGGAAACAGGCCGGTAAAAAACAAAAAACCTGGTACTGTTGGTTCTTTCACCTCCATCTGTTTTAACAGCCTGTGACCTATTTGGAGGTGGCTGTCAACAAATGTAAACGGCCAAGATGCGAGCGCCGGCTCCGATGGTCGAACTTCTCTCTTCTTTGGCGCTTACTTCCCCGGGGCCCCCGAAAAGAGGGATAGGCATCAAACAAAAACTTATTAGGCATCAACAAAAAACTTATGCTCATTCCTATGGGGGGAAGGAAGGAAGGAAGGAAGGAAGGAAGGAAGGAAGGAAGGAAGGAAGGAAGGAAGGAAGGAAGGAAGGAAGGAAGGAAGGAAGGAAGGAAGGAAGGAAGGAAGGAAGGAAGGAAGGAAGGAAGGAAGGAAGGAAGGAAGGAAGGAAGGAAGGACCCCCCAACCACCCCGCTGATTTGTAGAAGGTTGACAGTGATTAACGCACCCTTTGCTGAATCATCACTTCTTCGAGCATCATGGGGGGGGCTGCCGCCCCCCCCAACCCCCCTGCTGATTTGTAGAATGCTTACAGAGCTTTGCGCACCCCTTGTTGAATCTTCACTTCCTCGAACATCATGGGGGGGGCGGCAGCCCCCCCCAACCCCCCGCTGATTTAATGCTGCGCCTGCTGCACCGTATTGCGAAAGTGCTGCCTGCCGCGAAATTGGTACCTCTTGCGAAAGTGCTGCGCCTGCCGCGAAATCTGGACCGCACCTTGCGAAAGTATTGCACCTGCCGCGAATCTGTACCTGACCTTCCTCACCCTGACCTTCCTCACCCCGCTGATTTGTAGAAGGTTGACAGTGATTAACGCACCCTTTGCTGAATCATCACTTCTTCGAGCATCATGGGGGGGGCTGCCGCCCCCCCCAACCCCCCTGCTGATTTGTAGAATGCTTACAGAGCTTTGCGCACCCCTTGTTGAATCTCCCCCCCCAACCCCCTCGCTGATTTAATGCTGCGCCTGCTGCACCGTATTGCGAAAGTGCTGCCTGCCGCGAAATTGGTACCTCTTGCGAAAGTGCTGCGCCTGCCGCGAAATCTGGACCGCACCTTGCGAAAGTGTTGCACCTGCCGCGAATCTGTACCTGACCTTCCTCACCCACCCCGCTGATTTGTAGAAGGTTGACAGTGATTAACGCACCCTTTGCTGAATCATCACTTCTTCGAGCATCATGGGGGGGGCTGCCGCCCCCCCCAACCCCCCCGCTGATTTTCAGAATGTTTACAGAGACTACAGCAAAGGGTGCGAATCATCACTTCTTCGATCATCACCACCCTTTGTTGAATCATCACTTCTTCGAGCATCATGGGGGGGGCTGCCGCCCCCCCCAACCCCCCTGCTGATTTGTAGAATGCTTACAGAGCTTAGCGCACCCCTTGTTGAATCTTCACTTCCTCGAACATCATGGGGGGGGCTGCCGCCCACCCCAACCCCCCGCTGATTTAATGCTGCGCCTGCGTCAAACTCTGCACCGTATTGCGAAAGTGCTGCGCCTGCCACGAAATTGGTACCTCTGTCGAAAGTGCTGCCCCTGCGGACCGCCGAATCTGTACCTGACCTTGCTAAAGTGCTGCGCCTGCTGCGAAATCTGTACCTGACTTTCCTCACCCACCCCGCTGATTTGTAGAAGGTTGACAGTGATTAACGCACCCTTTGCTGAATCATCACTTCTTCGAGCATCATGGGGGGGTGCTGCCGCCCCCCCCAACCCCCCCGCTGATGCTGCCGCCCCCCCCAACCCCCCCGCTGATTTAATGCTGCGCCTGCGTCAAACTCTGCACCGTACTGCGAAAGTGCTGCGCCTGCCGCGAAATTGGTACCTCTTGCAAAAGCGCTGCCCCTGCGGGGCTGCTGCCCCCCCCAACCCCCGCGATTTAATGCTGCGCCTGCGTCAAACTCTGCACCGTACCTTGCGAAAGTGCTGCGCCTGCTGCGAAATTGGCACCTCTTGCGAAAGTCCTGCATCTGCCGCGAATCTGTCCCTGACCTTGCAAAAGTGCTGCGCCTGCTGCGAAATCTGGCTGACCTTCCGAAAGTATTGCGCCTGCCACGAAATCTGTACCTGACCTTGCGAAAGTGCTGCGCGTGCTTTTTTGATGCCTAAAAAGTTGTTTTTTGATCCCTCACCCCCGAAAAGATACACTTTGCAACCATTTGAAACATGTGGCTTTTTCAACACCGAAAGAAAGGGAAGCCACCATTTACAGGTTGCAATGTTCAGGTGTATAATGCCAGGATCCCGGAGTCCCGCTTGAAGTCCCCAGCCCTTTAACATGGACCGATAATTCAGGGAACTGGAGGCAGGTCCACTGGAATTCCATTTGACTGATTTTCCCCGTTGGAGACGAAGGTATGGGTGTGCTTTGCGCATGGTTTTACTGCTTCCCTGTTCCATTTGCTGAAATGAGTACTTTTTTAATAATTTCCCCCCTGTTGGTTTTGAAGGGAATCTATCACTACGTGAAACATTGTTTTCCAGTGGTCTTAACCAAATGGAAGCCTAAGAAACAATCCCGAAGGGCACCGACGATATCTTCCCACTTGCTGAAGTGAATATGTTGCGATTTTCCCCTGGTTTGCAAGGGAATCTATCACTACTGTTCTCTATTTTGCATTTTTTGTGCGGGGGACAACAGCAACATGCAAATGGAGGCGGTTGAGGCCGGGTGAAGTTGTCAAAGTTATGGTAAAGTTGCCAAACGTGAGCCAGGACATCCGGGCAACATCAGTTCGAGCCAACCCTAAAGTGAAGCCAACATGGATCCCAAAAGCTATCATAGAGGAATCGCCTGGGAACCCCCTTCCAAGTCTTGGGTAATGCCAAAGGCAGGGAGTATTGGGGCCACATCGGGGCCAAGTAAGGTTAAGTAGGGGTCTTTAAAACTGTGGTTTGTGGTGTTCTTGATTTCGGGTATGCCAGAAGCTCTCACGCATGTGCAGGTTTAGATATTTTAGAACTAGGTTTGGGGAACCCAACTTCTGTGATACCAGGAAGCTGTTGCTCGCTTCCAACGGAGAGCTGTTGTTAAATCTATCAATATCGGTGTGTCCTTTGTTGGAAGGTCGCTCAAAATGGTGGTTTCCTTTTAGTGTCCCTCAACAAAGTACAAAAAGGATACCCTGAAAAACGACACCCGGAAGAACTTCCATTGGCTCGCAGATTGCAATTCCCACAGTTGAAATGATTTGTCAAATGGGGCTTTGGGGTATTTCAGAGCCAAAGTAAGTCACGATCATAAGGGACAAATGTGTATGTATCCCCTCATATTGCAAGGAGCTGTCTCATCTCGGTATCATCTCGATGGAGTACGTTGGTTTCAGAGATTTCTTCAGACATGGTAGACGGAAGCAGATCTGCGTCAAGAAGCTGTCCTACCTCTTGAAGCAGGAAAGTACGGACGGAACCAAGAAGATCGAATATCGCGTGGGCCGTGACTACGGCGACGCGGCATATGCATCGTGGATGCGCTGGCTCTTGGGATAGGATGGTGTGAATATGACGCTTGGAACTGAGAAGTAGGAGAAGATGGGGGATGGAGTGAAAATGGTCCTTGGGTTCTTCGATGTCAGTCCGGTTCCAACTTCTCCTGCGAGAGGATGATTGTTTTCCGGTTTCTGGTGCTTTTGGATGGGTTCGGACCTTCATATCGCAACTTCCTGGCCCCTACCCCCTTCCTTTGGTTACGGGGTCTTATTTTGGGAAAGCCAGGAAAAGAAGGGTGTTGGGATCCCAGGAAAAAGGGTGTGGGAAGAGGCGGGTTGGGATCCGGTCGAAGCTGTCGATCCTCCACCGAAATCCGTCGATTTGCTCCACGGAACGCAGGTCTTGGGGGTGAAGCCCTCATGGTTGAGCGGCAGGCGCGCGATTCTTAAGGTATAAGCTCAGTGCGTCCGAAACCAAAAACGGCGTGTTTGTTCGCCACTAGAGGTGACCAAGGAAATAACCAACATGGAACCCTCCCTTGCGTTTCGCTCCTATAGTACCCCATGGCTTCATTTCCGCTCATGTTGTAGGTACCGGAAAAAAAACAAAGAAAAAAACACGTCTATTAGACACCAGGCAAATGGCGAAGGGTTACCCCACCTTTTGGTAGGTTCCCCCTATGCCAAAACCGGCAACTGAATCGATCTGGGAAGGCCTCTCCCGGCCGAGAATTTTCGTGCGTTCGGATTCTGTCTTTTCGAGGGTCGGCTTTTCGGGGTTTCAAGGGAAAGCTTTTAAACCGGGTCCCCGAATCATAATGATGGACCCTTTGGTGCCGCTTTTTTTTGTAGGAAGCCGGAGAATGGGGGAAGCCGGGGGGGAAGGGGAAGGTCTATTTGAGGTCCAGGTGGGCAGCACCTAAAACAGTCATTGGCTTTTAGTAGGTGGTTCTACTCCCTGGTATTATTGGGTTATAGCGAAGCTTTTACAGACCTTTCTCTTGCCCTGCGAGTAGAACCAAGCATGGGTTTTGGGAGCTGCGCTGGAAATGTCAACTTCAAGCTCGTCCGGACCATCATGCGTTATTATCTAGGGCTAAATAAGTGCACGCTTTCTTGTCCTTTGGTGCTGACTCAGTTTGGTTTAGTCGTCTCAAACTCCATTCTATGTTTTAGAACGCGACCCTATTGCCCGACACTGCGGATGGGCAACATTTTGCACCACCTAAGCCCTGAAATGATTCAATTCCCCTGTAATTTCCAGCAATGGTTTCAACCATGCATTTCGCCACCATCAGTAACCGCTTCAAAGGATTGGCCGATTCGCGGATCGTGTCCGGCTCGAAGCACTGTGCCACAGTGGCCGCTTTTTCGGGCGGAGCCCCTTGGACGCAGAGAGCTTTGCTTGGTCCATCACGGCTGGTCTTTGGTGCGAAGGGGCCCCTTAGAAGTTCTGCTGGGGTCACCTGTTCGACTTTTGCCAGGGGTTATCAAAGTCAGAAAATGGGAGGTTGTTTCCCTCTAAGCCACATAAACGCTGAGGCCAGTTTTGAAAACGCCATTGTTTCCGTTTAGCCTAAAACAGGGTTAGACCACTTGCTCAGGGAAGAACAGCTGAGGTCTCCCAAACAGTTTGGTACTTGAGGTGAGCACCCCCAAAAAAGGCACATTGAAGGGGAAAGCAAGCAATTCGTTGCCAACAAGGCGGCGCCCTTTTATGCCACCAATGCAAAAGTATACTACAGGACGCCACACGTGGGATGTCGGTCAGATTCCAGTGACTTCAAAAGGTAGTTGTGTTTATATACACCGCTTCCTCTAATGACTACCCCAGCTGTTTTGCTCACCTTTGGTTCTTTTTCAGACGACGCGTCTTTAACAAGATTCTGAGGGTTGATTCCCCATTCTTTCCAACCATCGTTCTTTTCGACAACCGGCCGTTTCCCTGGGTTTCTGGAGGTTTTCTAGAAGGATCCCTGGAAAGAACGGGGAAGGTAATTTTGCAAAGACCCTTAGACCGTCCCGGGCTGCCGGCCCCGAGAGAATTCCTTGGCCACATTTTGTTCTCTTCACTTGTTGGTTTCAAAGGGAATCCATCACTACTGGAGATATGTGTTTTTTTCCCCAGGGCTCTGTTTCCTCTCGGTCACCTCCCAGTTCAGCACGGTTTCCATTTCTGTCGGGTAGAAAAGCGGCCAACTCACTTCCCGAGTTCAACTGGACTTTAGTCACTTTTTGGGTTTGGACCAGTTCAGTGGCAAGCAACCAGTTCAGACTTTTTGGGGGCCGTCCACTCAGGAAGCGAGTCAAGCCCAACATGTCCCTTTTCGGAACCTCCCGAAGTGGCGGTTTCAATAGAAACCACCAGTAAGCTGAACAAACTTTTGGACAACTCCCCCTTCAAATCGATCAACAACTTGTGATTTGGTAAAATCAGAAGTGACCGGGTTCTTGCCAGGGACCCTCTGGCCCCGGGACCGACCCGAGGAGCAATGCCGAACGGCAGGCTGCTCACGCTCTTCTGGGCACCTAGTGCTGCAAGTCCAGGGAAACTGTGGATGTAGTGTGTGAACGTGTTTGCTTGTTTGTTTGGGTGGTTGTTTGTGTGTGTGTGTGTGTGTGTGTGTGTGTGTGTGTGTGTGTGTGTGTGTGTGTGTGTGTGTGTGTGTGTGTGTGTGTTTGCGTGTATGTGTGTTTTTGCGTGTTTCAGCACGTGTTTGTGTGTGTGGTACACAGAAATAACATGCTCGAATGATGTTTCATATTCTGTCTACCCTGCACATATATATATATATATATATATATATAAATAAATAAATAAATAAATATAACAACATGTATATATCATATATGAAAACGCGCCCCCTCCCTCAGGCTCTTCACTAAGAGCTTCAGCTCTGACAGCGTCTGCTCAGACTCCAGGCATGCCTGCAAGATGCCCAGCAGCTCTTCCCGGCTTTGACGCAGCAGCTTTGTACTTCGACTGTGTGCCCAGCGAAAGGAAATGTTTTTCAGCAGAACCCTTCGTGCTCAACCGGCTTTCCTGCCAAGAGCTCTGCCTTCTGAGCCAGCGCCAGCTGCGCATCCGAAGCGTGAATGGAGTCAAGCAAACTGCAAAACAGATGAGAGAAACCCTTCATATTTTTGGGGGTATGGTTCGGGGTATGGTTCGGGGTATGGTTCGGGGTATGGTTCGGGGTATGGTTCGGGGGTATGGTTCGGGGGTATGGTTCGGGGTATGGTTCGGAGGCATGGTTCGCACAAGTCTCACTTCCACCCTTTACGAAAGGCGGCGCACCTTAAAAAGGCACACACCCATACATATATATATATAGAAATACACTATGTATACATATATATATATACACACAGTTGAACACTATGTATACATATATATGTATAAAGTTGAATATAGATGAAGGAAGAGATGGAAGGAATATTCATATGATAGTAAATATTTACTTATTCTATCACTTTATGTTCATCTCGTCCTTTCTCTTTCTCTCTTCCTTCATGTCAGGTCTCCAAATATCCGATATGAAAGAAAGAAGATTGCCTTGGAAACCAAAAGTAGTTCCTATCTTCTGGAGCCACCAATTGACAGCAAATCTCCCGAGGCAATCTTAGGATGAAAAATACCACTATGAAAAGATGTTTATTATCACAGTTTTGGAGTTGTGGACCACCGGTTGGCCATCAGAAGTCCCCGTTCAGTGACCTCTCCTGCAAAATCTCACCTCGCCTTGTCAAGTGGTTTGGATTGATGTGTTTGTTTATTTGTTGTTTGTTTGTTTGTGTGTTTGTGTGTGTGTGTGTGTGTGCGCGTGTTTGTGTTTGTGCACACAATCATGCACACACAAACTCACAAGCTCATATACACACAAACGCACAAACCAAAAACACTGACACACAGACAAACACACACAAACTCACATGCACAAAAACACAAACACATTCACACACAAACACACATACACACAAACACATACACAAACACACATACACAAAGACACACAAAACACACAATCATATTCACACACGCAAACCCACATACACAAACACACACACACAAACTCACATGCACAAAGACGCACAAAACACACAACCACGCAAACATATTCACACACAAAGCTATGTGTTTGTGTGTATGTTGTTTGTGTGTGTATTTTCTGTGTTTGTATATATGTGAGTTTGTGTGTATGTGTGTTTGTGCGTATCTGAGTTTGTGTGTATGTGTGTTTGTGTGTGGATGTGTTTGTGCGTTTGTGGGATTGTGTGTTTGTGTGCATGTGTGTGAGTTTGTCTGCGTAGTTGCGTGTTTGTGTGTGTATGTGTGTGTGTGTGTGTTTGTGTATGTGTTTGTCTATGTGAGTTTGTGTGTTTGTGCGTTTGTGTGTATGTGAGTTCGTGTGTGTACGTGAGTTTTTGTGTGTATGTGAGTATGTGTTTGTCTATGTGAGTTTGTGTGTGTGTGTGTGTGTGTGTTTGTGTGTATGTGTGCTTTTGCGTGTTTCAGCATGTTTGTGTGTGTGTGTGTTTATTTGTTTGTTTTTTTGTGCGTATTTTGTTTGTGTTTGTGTGTGCGTTTGTGTGTTTGTGTATTTGCACGTTTGTGCGTTTCTGTGTATGTATGTGTGTGTGTGTGTGTGTGTGTGTGTGTGTGTGTGTGTGTGTGTGTGTGTGTGTTTGCGTGTATGTGTACTTTTGCGTGTTTCAGCATTTTTTTTTGTGTGTGTGTGTGTGTGTTTATTTGTTTGTTTGTTTGTGCGTATTTTGTTTATGTTTGTGTTTGTGTGTGCGTTTGTGTGTTTGTGTATTTGCACGTTTGTGCGTTTCTGTGTATGTGTGTGTGTGTGTGGTTGTGTATGTGTTTGCGTGTTTGTGGGTATGTGGGTATGTGTGTTTGTGTGCATGTGTGTGTGAGTTTGCTTGTGTGTTTGTGCTTTTTGTGTATGTGAGTTTGTGTGTTCACGAGCTCACCGATCCGAGGGCAAAGCAAGCGCTCCCGACCCCATGACCCCATGATGAAAGTTTCGTTCTTGGGAATTCCTGATTTCTTGTTTACACATTATAGTCATGTGCCCAGATGTTTCTCAAAATCAGGGTTCCTTTTTGGGTTGTTCTGAGGGGGAACCAAAAGGAAAGCCATCCATTTGCTTGGTACCCCTGGACAAAGTGGTATAGAACTTCAGCACAAGGGCCTGGGGTTTGGATGCCTGGGGAAACTTCGATCCGGAGTGGTGGGGAAGCGCCTCCCACTTGGTGGACATGAAATCCCGCCAAGATGATGAGCACCAAAGGGTCTAAGAGAGAAAAGCACCAAACCAATTCTGGTGGCATCCCAGCTCATGTTCTGGAACTCTGCAAAGCAGGTAATTTTGTGTTGGGCGGGCGGGTGGGTGGGAGGCTGGGCGGGTGGGTGGGTGGGCGGGTGGGTGGGTGGGTGGGAGGCCGGGCGGGTGGGTGGGTGGGTGGCAACCACAGCCATGCCCGACAAGTTTGTTGTTGATGCTTAGTAAGTTTGGTTTGATGCCGCAGTCTCCAGGCGTTTTTTTACAGTGTGTTGGTCCCAATGGTGCCGAAGTGAGGCTTCTCAAGTGGTTCCTTGACTTTTAGACCTGCGTTTTGAATGAGCCGTTGCTTGATGCCTCATCCGTTGTCGCTGCGGGTTTCCTCTTTTTCCAAAAAGGGACCTACGAAGTCCCCGAAGCCAGTGCCTCGCGCCTTGCGGCCAGGGCCCTTGGGTCTTTGGTGCTTGGAGTGTTCCTTTCCTTGGGGCCGAAGGACATCCGGTCAACTTAGGTTTTTAGCGGTTTTTAGTTGATGAAATGTGGCGGTGTTAGCCCACCAGTTGTCGACTTTTAGCAGGGGATCTGAAAACGGACAGCCCAGTTGAGAATCATTGCCCAGTGGACCGGGCAAGCAAGTGAAGGTAACCCTTCGATCCACCTTTTTTTTGGGTTTGGAAGGGTGGTTCCCTGGATTCCCTACTAAATAGGGAAATGATTCTGCAATTTCAGCGTGGTTCCCCCGAACTTTCAGGTAGAATTTGGCGGGAAAGCGCTACGGACCGCCCATGGGGACCTGCCAAATGATGAGTTTCCTGTTGGCTTCCCTTTGAGGTGGCCTGCCCTTCCACATACGTGTTCCTTTCGGAATCGTAGGACCAAGGAAAATCAGGTATGAGGGGGGGTGCTCGTTGTCAGAGTTGGGGGCTCTTTTTTGCTGCTACTTCCAGAACCAAACCAAGCAGAAACGAGACACGCTGTGGGTTCGCACGCTACCTAGGCTGTCGGCGTTCTTGGTAGAGATGGAGCCCACAAGGAATGACGGGGGTGGATGGGTGACGAATGGGGGGCTCTTTGGACCAGTTGGGGAAACCCCATGCCTGGTGGGAGGGTATGAACGGCTCATGAACATATCTTAGTACTGGCTTGATCAAAGCCATCCTGTTGACCCTTTGGCTTCCCTGATTTGGGTCATTTAGGCATGGCCCCAACAGGTTAGACCTTTATTTCTGGGTTCTTGAGGCAAGTGAGAGTATGCTCCTACAATCATGACCGATTTTGGTTTTCGAAAAGTATCCGGCAACCCTGTTCTAATTATTTAGACCCTTATATTCTCCCGAGCTCACCCATGATGAAGGTTCTTCACTGGTGGCTTCCCTCGTTTCCTGTTTGGCAGTGATTTGTCCGGATGTTATCAGGGACCCCACCCCAAAAAAAGATTTGGCCAGAAGTTTGACATGTGTTCTCGGTGAAGCTCATGCACCCTTCGCCTGTGGTTGCTTTTGGATGCCTTCACAAATTCGCCAGCGACAGAGACAAGGCTAGCGACAAGGGTTTCTAAGTGCGGGGATCCCTTGAACTCCAAGAATAGGCTTGGCTGGGCTCTCTTTTGAACTAGTGGCCTTCAGTGCTTGCCAGGGCCCGGAGCAAACGCGCAGCTGGCAGATGGACCCCCGAAAACAAAAAATGCAAACACTGTAATAATAGTAATAATAATAGTAGTAATAATCATAATACAAGAAGAAAAAAAAAGGAAAACACAAAGAATGCCCAAAACGAAGAGCAAATATTCCTTTTGATTCCCCAACCAAGCCTGCGCTTCCAGGTCCTAAGCCATAAACACTTCCAACTTTAACCAAGGAGTCTCCATTTCAAAATGGGGTGGCCCCCCAAAAAGGGTAGCCGTTTTTAAAGGGTCATGGAGAGAATTGAGGATGGCTTTGCCATTGAACCCTGCGAAACGACTTTTTTCGCCACTTGAAACACCAAAAAACCACCCAATAGGTCTTCCAGGCGAATCTCTTTGAAGAAATCAGCGCAGGATTGCTACAACTTCAGGGCTTGAATTTGGGTGCCTTTGTTTTTTGGAGGCCAACGGGTCTTGGGAAAGGATTGAGTTTCGTTTCTGTATGCGCGTTGATCATTGAGCCTTCGTTTTGGCGGGACCAAAACACAACAACCGACACAATGGTCGGGGTCCTTTCATCTTTTTTTGCCAATGTTCCGGTAAAATTGTTTTGCGACGGCACTTTGCCTACCCGCGTGCTATCGGCCCATTCCCGGCAGAAATTTGTGCAACTGATCGGTGCAAGTGACCGGACAGGGTTCAGGCGCTGGGGAAACAGCAGGCCCCTAGGTGTTCTTTTTGGTTGTCTTGGTAGAAAAATAGATGGCCTTGGTTTACCTGGTGGTTTAACCATCTACCAGGGCCATCTATTTCCCCTACAAGGACACCTATGAGCAGGCCCCAAGTGAGCAGGAGGAAACCTTCGAAACCTGGCTTGTTCCTTTCCCCCCGGCGATCTGTTGATTCTTTGCAGGGCGACGTCGCTGTCTCGGACGCGAACGCGAGCAACAAGAGCAACACTTCCAACACCACACCCGTCGCTGGGCCGAGCGGGATGCCAACATCCGTGCCGGGTTTATCATGGGGACGAAAAAGGCCATGTTTGCCACCAAAGCTTCAATATCGTTGTTTTAAGAGCTGGGGCATATATATATATATATATATATATATATATATACACACATCTGCTTATACGTACAAATGCACACGCGTACACGCACTCACATATATACACATACATACATGCATGCATGCATGCATGCATACATACAGACAGACAGACAGAGACAGACAGACAGACAGACAGACAGACAGACAGACAGACAGACAGACAGACAGACAGACAGACAGACAGACAGACAGACAGACAGACAGACAGACAGACAGACAGACAGACAGACAGACAGACAGACAGACAGACAGACAGACAGACAGACAGACAGACAGACAGACAGACAGACAGACAGACAGACAGACAGACAGACAGACAGACAGACAGACAGACAGACAGACAGACAGACAGACAGACAGACAGACAGACAGACAGACAGACAGACAGACAGACAGACAGACAGACAGACAGACAGACAGACAGACAGACAGACAGACAGACAGAGACAGAGACAGACAGACAGACAGACAGACAGACAGACAGACAGACAGACAGACAGACAGACAGACAGACAGACAGACACATACATACAGACACACATACACACATACATACATACATACATGCATGCATGCATGCATGCATGCATGCATGCATGCATACATACATACATACATACATATATATATATATATACATAAACACCTGCGTATCAAAATACATATACCAGGACGCCCCAACTGCTGTCCAATGATTGATGTGACCTTTGACAACGGTGCTACAGCTGTTGGATGACTCTATCGGTGATCCTGAAGTTCCGGTCAGTTTTGCGCTCGACATCTGAAAACCCGTTTGGTACAGAAAATTATAGGTCCCCCAGCTAGGTGTCCTTTCTCACCCTTTTTTGGGGGGGTTCCCTACTAAGATAGACTACAGAAAAATGGTACCCTTAGTCTAACCTCCTGGAGGACCTAGTTGAAGGCCTTTCACTTGGGGTTCCATTTTGCAATTCGTATTGTTGTGATTATTATAAGTATTGAAATGATCATCGTTGTTGTTTTCATTATCGTATCTTTGTTGTGATGCTTTGTGTTGATGGTTATTACGGCACTTGTGCTGATCGCCAAACTCTTTTGAGACCAAACCCCAAAGCGCTCAATTTGGAGTGCGCTTCGCAAGGTTGGGCACGAGTGTGCAAAGGGCCCCCCTTGGGCTTTCTGCCGAAACGACCAGCAAAAAAGGCGGCAATCATGACCAGTGATGCCGTGTCCCTATATAGATCTATCTATTTGTTGGGTAACCAAGGAAACCAACGGTTGAAACCCAAAAGGAGAGGGGATCGACGGGTTACCAATACTGGGAACTGGGGTCCACTGGGATGGAGTGTGGGGAAGGGGAGGGTCGGATTTTTTCCGATTTCTCCCTCCCAAGACCCGGCCGATTACGGTAAAGCAGGGGTCGATTTTCCGGGTCCCGGCAGTGTAAAAGAAAGGTGATGTCAAAGGCTCCAAACATGGGTGTGTTTGTGTTTAGGGCAGCCCCCAAAATGATGGCTTTCCTTTTGGTGTCCCTTTAAAAACACCTGCCAAAGGAGGGTTCCCTCAAAAAAGCCCGGCTTGGGAAACCACAGGAACACCGAGCGAATTTTATATTGGATCCGATCAATTCAGTGTCACCCTTTTGTAAACGCAGGGGGTGGGGCCAAGTGGGCCTTCCCGAAACAAATGGTTGCCAAGTTTTTTAAGTGGGGCGTCAGGCTGCAGCTTTTGTGTTGACATGTTCCCAACAGGCAAGGGCCCATAAGCCATGAGAACAGCAGCCCATCCAGTTCAAAGGCGGGCCCCTTGAAACTGCTTTCTGAACCCTAAAGTCAAGGGTTCTACTTGGGGTCAACATGAAACGCTTCAAGTTGTTTCCTGAATTCGATCGGTTCTGGGTACCGTGGACTACGTGGACCTAGGTTTCTCGGCGCTGAACCCTTGCGGAAATCCGTAGCTTGCGGCCCGAGGGTACCGAAGCCCTTCGGTTTTTGAGCGCCGCAGACCGCCTTGGACCCTAGGTTTCGCCACCAGGTTCCTTTGACTCTTTTGGGGGTCCCATGTCCATTTCTTGGGTTTTAAAGACCGGAGTTTTCCTTGATGCTTTCAGGTTGGAAACTTAGGGAACCCTGCTCCCTCAAAGACATGTGCCCTGTACAGGTGCAAAACTCAAGACAGAGGACAGAGGGCGGATTTTTCAGTGCACCCCCCCGGTCAAAAGGCTTCGGGCTTTCTGGAAGTCAAGAAGCCCTCGTAGTTCTGGACATTGGGTTGGGTAGGCCATGGTACCGCCTGCTTCCACTTACCATCGTCTAGGTAGAAACACTTGGAAGTAAAAGTCACCTGAATACCTACCATGGTTGTTGTTGGGAAACATTTTACCTTTTGCTTATTGTGGTTTAGTGGGAAATTCCCACTTAGCTGCTAAACAAGTTTTTGTTTGCTCCCCTTCCAACGTCAACCAAGCTACTCTAGTGATACCCTTCAGGGTCCCATCGGGGCTTCTGATGGAGGCAGGGTTTGGAGCCAGTGCAACGAAATCTGTCGACCCAGTGGATACCAGGCAACCCACTCAGACCACCAGCATGCTTCTCCTACTGCCTTTTTGGAAGGGTGGAAAGGTTTGGGTTACCTAAACCAAGGAAACATAAGTGTCCTTTTTGGTTGTTTTGGTCGAAAAATAGATGGCGATTCCTGGTTTACCTGGCGGTTTAAGCATCTAGGGCCATCTATTTGCCTTAAAAGGACACCTATGCAGGGAACCGGAATCACCGGGGGCAGCTCTCACGTTTTTTTCGGATGCCCGGTGCTGAGGTGGTGAAGATCAACCTCTTCGACACTGATGATGGGCGCCGCATGGCTTCCGGCTGGGGTGATGAACGGGCTTGCCAGCCTTTGAACCATTTGCATTCCTGGGGTTGAATATACATGACCTTCACATATATTTTGGGGTTGTCTTGTTGTAGGGACGCCCCTTTTCAGCTTGATTTACAAGGAACCAACAGGACTGCCACCATTTTGGGAGTCTCCCTATCTTGGCGCATAATGTTGACCCCATATCAATCAACCCCAGTTTATTAACAGGAGGGTGTTCCCCTCCAAAAGTGGTCTGATTCCCCCCCTAAACCCGGGGACACCCCCATTGAATTCTGGGTCAACATTACCCGTTCTGGCAGAAACACTTCGGGATCTCAGTGAGTCTGGGTTTTGGTGCGGGAGTTTGGAAGTGGCCCTTCAGGGTAAACATGGCAGCCCGACCATTCAAGCAATTGAAACAATGATAGTTAAGAGGACCAGGAGGAATGAATCCCTCACTCAGCCGGCAAAGCTTTCGAAGCTCCCTCTCCTGGCTGGTTGTTGGTTCCGAATCGCCCCTTCTTTTTGGGTCTGTCTTTTTTTGAGGGTACCCTTTTTGGGGTTGGTTTAAAGGAAGACCAAAAGAACAACCACCATTTTGGGGGGATTCCCTTAAAAAAGCCACACCCAAATGGCCTTTCCAACTCCCTTGGTTCCCAGCCACTCAGACTTCGACTGTTCGAGTTGAGTTGGAATTCCATGTCCCCCGAACAGCGCTCAAGAGAAAGCGGAGCAGCTTCGCTTTGCTGACGCGCAAGAGCCGAGGATTTGCCATCTCCACGGATGACATCAGCGAAAGGGAGTCAGAGCTATTGAAGGAGCCCATCGTTTTGGTGAAGCGGTTGCTGCCTTGAAGTGCCACAGTGAACGAGGGGAAACCTCCAAATTGCTTTTAAGGGGGAACAAAAAGCCCCTGGAGCCAGCAAGTAGAGGGTACTTGTGGAAAAGAAGTATTAAGATATCGGGTTAGACGGTAATCTTGAGGATGCCACTTTCATCTAAGGGCTTGGGCAAAATGAACCACTTTGAACCACCAGTGGGGCAGTTTTCAAGATGCAACTCTTGCCCGGACCCAGGGGGGCAAGAAGTGTCAGATCCGATTCAACCCGCAAGACACCAAAAGCAGACTCTGATGGTTTCAACAAGGGAGCTGCTGACCCTGCCCCCAAAGCTCAAACCCTCCACCCAGCACCCAGGTCCATATCCCCCACAGCTTTCTTGACAGCTCAGAAGGGGATCTTGGCCGCGGTTGAAAAAGCGGTTGGGGGGTGCTGGACTATACCCGAATCATTTGCTTGGCCCCGAACATGAGCACGGATACCTTTTTGATGGTGTCCCTAATGGTCACCCGATATACATGATCTTTTGATCAACCCCCCCCTCCCCCCATGTATTTAAAGGGGGTCAGATATCACCTCTTGGGCTGGACGTGAGGCTTGCAGGCACGGTTCATGAAGGGGTGTCTTCTTTTTGTTTTTCGCGTGCCCTCAATGTAATGTCTGCTGGTAGAGGGAGCCAAGGGGACACCTTGACACCACCCTTTCTTTCTCTTTTGGGGTTTTGGGGGGGGGGGGGGGCAGTTCCCTCAAAAGTACAGACAAGCCCAAAAAGGGTACCGTCAACAACCAAAGAGACAAAACACAATTTCCCGCTCGCGTCCCTAAAGTCGCAATCGGCAGGAACAGCAAAAGGAGGCGGAGGTTCAGAAGGAGGACACTTCTGAAACGCGGCCAGGGGCGTTCATGTTTTCTTCACTGTTGTTGTGTTTTAGGTTTTGCGGGTTTTGAGGGTTTCAGGTTTTCGGGGTTCTTTTTTTTTTTTGGTTGGGGGCTTGAGCAAGACACACACTCAGTTTGTTGCAAGGCCATAGGAAGGGTTGCTCATTTTATGTTCCACCTTACACAGAACTTGGGGCCAAGAGCCATGGGGCGGTGGCGCATGGTCCCCGACGGCCCCTGGTCCCTCCATCCCCCATTCCCCCATTCGCCCAGTGGAATGGTGGGGCTGGTAGGACGGGACATGGTGTTGGTCCAAATTCAAGAGCTAGGGTTACGGAGGTTTTGGTTTTTGGCTCCAGTTGCCAAGGTGCCGCAGCCATGTGACAGTTGATCACTTCAACGTTCCGACAATTTGGACGGCGGTATTTACGACGTATCGCACTTCAACCATGTGACTTGTAGCTTGGGAGGAGTGAACCTCCCAGCTTGTAGGGTGAATGTATGAGAATGTATGATCCCTCCAATAACGATCCCTTGGTATGAAACCCCTATTCTAGAGCCAATCACCAACGCGGTTGGTTGATGGGGCCCATTGGGTTCCCTCCTATCTAATCAGTGGCTGAGGAGCCAGTGTTTGATTTCCATGAGTTTATGGGAGATGAGCAGCCAAAGACCCATAGGGAAACAGCAGGCTCAGAAGCGCTTCATAGAACCTTTGGGGTTCTAGTTGAATGGGTTTTCTTTTTGGGTGGTTGAAAACCAACAAGGAAAAACAACACATGATCGTTTTTAGCAATAACTGCCACTTGCATGTTCGCCCCCCTGGGGGAAAAACAAGTATGTCCAGTAGTGAAATCGATTCCCTTCAAAACCAACAGGCGAAGTAAAACATGTCTAGGTCCTCCAGTAGAGAGGTTAGAATAAGGGTTCCCTTTTTTCTGTAGTCTATTTAGTAGGGGAACCCTCCCAACCGAAAAAGGGGAGAGAAGGGCACCTTGCTGGGGGACCTAGCTTTAGCACCTGGAAGCAAAGGGAATCCCCAGCTCAAGAACCCTCCCGGCGTCTGAAACCCTCCACGAGCCAGCTCAGAACCCATTGCCGTCGCTGGAAGCAACACTCTGCGAGGGTTTTTTTTGCGTGGTGTCCGGCGAAAATGTAAATGGCAGTTATTGATAAAACTGAACATGTTTTACTTTCCCTTGTTCTTGATGGTTTTGAAAGGAATGGATCATTCTTTCCAGGGTGAAAGCGCAAACGGAAGTTTGGGCTGGGGATGACAAGCTATCTAGATGCCCGAGGCGCTTCACTGCAAGCGGAAGCGAGGGAAATGCGGTGTCGAAATGCAAGCCCCCGTGATTTAGAGGTCCATATGTTGCGGGAAATCAGGTTTTTACTGTGGTAAAACAGGCACGTTTCCCTCGTAAAAATTGGCACAGCCAATATCTTTCTTTGAGGATATACTGATAGTGTCTTGGGGCTCAAACCGCAAGCCCTTTCATGCATTTGTCAACGGTTACGTCATCTTCAACAAAGCCGAAACTTGCTAAATTCTAGGGGTATCTTCCATTTCCATTCTTTCCAGGGATCCTTCTTTCTAGAAAACCTCCGGAAACCGAGGGAAAACGGGTCGGTTTTTGGCAAGAACGATGGTTGAAAAGAATGGTTTGAATCAACCCCGAGATAAATGCAGACGGATCATCCGGCCATGGCCATCCTTGCCATCCTCGGCCATCCGGTTCGGAAGCCTCTCACACCCGAAGCCTCAAGGTTTGCCCGGGTGTAATTTCGAGCCTCATAGACACGGGCGCGAAAACGAATGATGATATGTGCGGTTCCTCAAAATGTGTTTTCTGGGACCGTGACTTGAATTGCTGAAGCGTTGGGGTTCTCTAAAACCGAGTTTTGGTAGGATCGGATTCTTGTTTCGACCGAAGGAACCTCCTAACTCTTTGGAAAACGATGAGGGTTGGGCCAAAGTTGTCACAAGCAGACCCAAGCCAAGCCATGAGGATTCAAAGATTCTCCCAACTCTGCTGCCGGTTTCTAAGGCAACCAAACTTGTGGTTGGGGTGTCGGTTGGTTTCTGTTTTAAACCCACCCCAAGGGGACCCCTAAAAAGAGAAGACCCCATGTACCAAGAAAGGTTGCTCCGGGGTGACCGCAGCCTACCCCCATTGACTTGAATACTCTGAAATGGCCGATTCGACTCGAATTCGAAATCAACGAATCCCCGAGTCGTCTCGTCAGGAGATTACGCAGCGCAACAAGGCTTACATGTTCCTGAAGCAGCACAAGAACGACCTGAACCATGCCGTTTGCCAGGCTCAAACCGGACGCCTCATAGCATCGATCGCATGGCATGACTCGTACACAAATAGGTGTCGTCGTCTTCTTGTACAGGGACCCCCCAACAATGATTGGTTGCCTCTTGGTTTCTCTTTAAAACCACAAAGAGAGGGTACCCTCAAAGAAAGACCCAAACGGCTTCCCATCATACCAAAAATCTAGCGACCTTTTACTCGGGGGAAAGAGCACCCCAGTTTTGACCCAGGGTTTGACAAGACATGTTGATTTTTTGAGCGGGTGGGTGTTAGTAATTTTGAGGAAACCCACCACTTTTGGAGGAAACACACCCACACACACACACAGACACACACACACACAGACACCCTATTTATCCGCCGGATTTATTCATCCGGGGTCAACATTGCCGCTTTTTGCTCATGGCTACAAACACTTCCGCTTCAAATAGATGTGCCGTCGTTCCAACCAGTGTCAACGTCGGACTACGAGGTGACCCATTGTCGGAGGAATATTTGTCAAATCAACCAAGCCAATGCATGGGATTGGTGTTTGCCCAGACAGCAGAAATCTATGCGGGTATGACTTCTGCTTGGGCCACAATCAAAACCCGGGTAGATGAAGGTTACCAAGGGGCAGTCCCAGCCAGAAATAGTTGCGGCCGCCCTCTTAATTCTTTACCATGGTTCTGGGATTACGACCACTCTCTTGGGAACCCTTTGGTCGACATTGGGGATGAATGTCCACCAGCACTTTTTAGGGGTTCCGCAATCAGAAGTCGCCATGTGGGAGTGCTACCTTCACGTGGAGAAGTGTGTGTGTGTGTGTGTGTGTGTGTGTGTGTGTGTGTGTGTGTGTGTGTGTGTGTGTGTGTGTGTGTGTGTGTGTGTGTGTGTGTTTGTGTTTGTGTGTGTGTGTGTGTGTTTGTGTGTGTGTGTGTCTGTGTGACACGCGTGTATTTTTTTAGGGGTTGATTCCTTGTCCATTCGTTTCAACCAGCAGTCTTTTCAAACAACCATCAGTCTGCTTCCCCTGCGTTTTGATGATTTCCTGAAAAGACGGATCCCTGGAAAGAATGGACATGGAAGGTACCCCTCGAGTTTTTGTTTATTTCTTCGCGAATGGGATGTCCTACCAAGAAAAAGTACGAGGCCCTAGGATGCCCCCGACGATCAAATGGTTTGTGAAGTGACCTTTGGGCAATTTCAGCAGCCCGCCAACCAATTAGTTGGGAGGACTGGAAAGCTGAGCTTAGAGTTTAGACTTGGATTTATGATGTGTCCCACCTTTGGAGTTTCACTTGATTCGCAAATGGGCGTGTCCTTTTTTGGAGGGTACCCATTTTTTGTGTCACCAACTGGACACCAACAAATAAAGCCCCACTTTTTCTGGGTACTTACTCTTTTTTTCTCCAAAATCGCAACACAATTTTCCAGGGTCCCCCCAAAACAGACACACCCAGATCAACGACTCACGATTTTTTTCTCATCCTTCCAGGCCGCCAGCGACTACTTCGACTTTGAGACCCTCACCCAGCTGGTGAAGATGGGTGGATCGGTGCCGGCCCTGGGAAGCACATCTCTCACTCGCCCAAAAGTCGCCCAAAGGCGGCTGCCAGAACTTCCCGTGGCTCAAGAAGATGCGCTCATTTTCCCCTGCTGGATTTTTTTTGGTATTTGTTCCGGGGGACTCAAGCAAATGGAGGTGAAGACACATAATTTAGAGAAGCCCACGTGAGTCTGTTGTAACAGTAAAAAAAACGCATTTCGGGATGAATTAAAAACATCTCAAAGGGGAGCCGTTCTTTACAGCATCTTGGCTGATCAAAGGGTCGACCTCACTTTCCATGGGAACAGTTGCCATGTTACCCTGCGGTCATTTGGCCAGGCCTTCAGTGCCCGGGTGTGTTCTCTTGGCCAAGTGAAAATTCCAGGTCCGGAATCCTTTTTTTCCTTTTCTTTCCGAACTAGCCCAAAAACACGCAAGAACCTGCACAGGCCTCTTAAAAAGGAAAATTATCTTCCAGGAACCGGCTCCTGTGCAGGTTCCTTCTGTTTGCATTTGGGATACGAAAACCATCAGCCTCCATGTGCTTAAGAATATGTTTTATTTTCCCTTGTTTGGGTTTAAAAGAAATTCATGACTAATTACTGGACTTATTTTTTTTCTTGGGCCTTAATCAAACGGAAGTCAATCGAAATGCCCGGTGTCGGACTCGTGGAACTCAGAGAGGCTCCTTTCACCTGCAGTCCCCGGACCGCCATGGTATTGATTGGGCGCGTCTTTTGGGGAACCCCGTTTCGATCCGTTTTTTTTTTGGGGGGGGGGACCAAAAGGACATCCCAGGCATTTTGTGGGGTTCCACTCGTCGTTGCCCGGGAACCTGCCTGTAATCGTCCATTTGCTTAAGAACAAGTTCTTCATTTTCCCTTCTTGGTTTTACAAGGAATCTATCATACTTGTTTCTTTTGAGGGGGCGAAAATAGAAAAGGCAGTGATTGGGCCGGGGGTCCTCGCAAAACCACCTACAAGTCAACAGTCCCAGCCCCATACTCCAACACTTCCCCTCAAATGAATCGACTGAAAAAGACGCCCCTTCAAAACTTACACCAGCAATTCGTCGCAAGGTCCTCCCTGAGTTCTCCGTTTCGGACTTTCGTCTCTTTCGGGAAGAAAGCAATTTTCGGAAGTCAAGAGTTTGGACTCTGCGCCACTTTCAGGATGTCAGGGCTTGGGTCCATGAGCCACCCAAACTCAACTCGACGGTTTCCGGCTCCGGAGGTTGCCATACGCGAGCATGTAGATGCTCAGGAGTTGGATTGCCATATCCCAGAAGATGCTGAAGGTTTTGAAGGGAAGGAACCGCTAAGTCCTTGATGTTGGTTGGAGTTTAGAGGGGTTTATGACCGAATTGTCCCACTATCCCACTTTCCCCCCAAGTAGGTGACCGGCAATCCCCTTTTAGTTTTTAAAGGCTGGTCCCCTTGGTTACGAACCATACAGCTAAATTTGGGTGTTTCCCAGAATAAGAGTCAGAGTCCCCTACAATGGCAACGGTGTCCTGTTGGTTTGTTTTTACCAAAATGGGGGCTAGCCCCCCCCAAAATTTAGAATAGAATAACATAAAAGTAGACACAATCAAATTCTGTTTTCCCTCTTGGCTTCTCTTTAAAACCACCCAAACAGGGGTTCCCCCAAAAAGCAAGAAGCCACACCCAAATGGATCCACTTAAAATTTTCCAGCCGGACAGGTGAACAAGCAGGTCTGCGGGGTGGACAGTGGAACCCCGCTGCACCAGATGGTTTTCTGGGGCCTCCACGCAGGCGCGCGGTGGTTGGGATGGCTGATGGATCCATCACGCCTGACGTCAAAAAGGCGTCCTTTTGACCGGTGAGTTTGGGAAGAAATGGATGGGTTCCACTGGTTCAGACGGTTTTTTTGTAAACGATTTCTCAAAATTCAGCGAAAGCAAGCCTGATTTTAGGTTGGTTTGGGTAGAACAAATATTCCACTGGTTTCGATGGGTTTTATGCGCCGTCCATTTGTCAGTTGCGAATCGGTCTATTTTCCAAAAGGTCCCAGTGCTTTCGGGGTTCCCGTCCAAGGGGCGGTTTGGAGCCCGGTGAAACAGCGTTTTCTATTTTAGAACCAGTTTGACCCGTTCCAACTACCCCGGTTCCAATGCAAACCACCAAAGCTTCGGTACCTGAAAAATGGGGGGAAGCGCACACATGGCAACGGCTTCTTGAAACATTTCCCTTTAGAAGCCACCAAACGGGGAAAACAAAACCCCAAAAAGAGAGACCACATTCACATACTCTTCTTTGCTTCAGATTCGCGTTCAGTAGAAGCCACAGCTCTTGCCACAGCTCTTGCGAGGCCATGACCCCTGTAGACCATCCCTGGCTTCCTTTGAGGGAATCCCCAAAATCTCATTCCCGAAGCCCGGGCCCGGCCATAGCCATCGCACCAGCGAGAAAAGGGGTGCCCTCCCAAAAAATGTCTTTAGAACCACTCGACCAAAAAGGGGGCAACCAACCAACCAGCCAAACAGGCCAAAAGCTTTTGGGGCAACCAACCAACAAGCCCAAAAATGGCAAGTGGCCCGGAAGGTCATTCCCTAGCGCAAGAGTGGCAGCTTCGGCAGGCGTGACGCGCCTGGTCCGCGAGCTGGGCGCCGACCCCAACCTCGGGGACGCGCGGGGGCTGCCGCCCTTGTTCGCCGCCTGCGCACAGCTCCATGAGCTCAGCAACATGGCCGGGGCACTCGGAGAAAGCAAACGCGGCGTGCATTTTTGGCATACCCCCTACTCACATACCCGCTTTTTTCAGGGTATTTTTGGGAAATCCTGGCTTTCCATGGTAAATACCTCCTTTTTAGAAGAGGGTTGACATGATACCCTGCAAAAAGATGGTATTTGGAGTAAGGGGTAGGTGTCCTTTTGATCGGTGTGCTTGGGTAGAAATAGATGGGTTCCACTGTTTTGGAAATTGGGTTTGTAAACTATTTACCAGGGAAACAATTAAAGGATAGCTGAGTTGCTGGGGGACTCCAAGATGACACCCAGGAGGCGTCATTTTTTGCCAGGGAACGGGCAAACCTTCAAAAGCCCAAACCGGTTGCCCGTTCGGGGGGTCAGCATCCCAGTTATTGGCGGGCTTTTCCAGAATGATGGACGGGTTTCTCTCAAAATGGGGGAACCAAGCAAAGGGGACCCTAAGCAGGGTGGCTTCACCTTTGGTTTTTTTGGATATGAACACGCACCCACAAAGTGTCAAACATGGTGTCTTTTTTGAGTTGGTACCCTCTTCTGGTTGCTTTGAACGGGAAGACGGAAAACCACTTGTTCGTGGGTCTCCTATAGTTACAGACATACATATATATATATATATATTTGGGGGCAGACGAAGTATGAAGCATCTGAAAAGTCTTGCCCAGAGGGTCTCTTGTTACCTAGGGATGTGGTCAAAATGCGATATTGGTGTGTCTGAAAAGGGACCCCCCCAAATTGATGGTTTGTCAATTTGGTTTTCCTTTAAAACCCTACCAAAAAGCGGTACCCTCAACAAATGACACACCCATATGGGAAAACGGGGAAACACCCAAAGATGGTTAGACATAAACTGCATGTCCGCAAACCCCCTTATTCAAGTCCATGTGCCACCGTCAAAAGAATCCTTTGCTTGGGTGTGTTTTGAGGCTACGCCTTCAGATTGCTTTGAAGGTTTGGGGGGGATCCCCCTAGTTGGACACATTTACCACCGGTTCCTTGACTTGGAGATGGCCGGTCGTTACTTGAAGGAACTATGACCATGGCGAAGCGCTTCTTGCATTGCTTGGGGTCTTCTCAGTCTTTTGTTGTTGCGCTTGAGTATCTTTTCTGGGGGGACCCCAAAATGAGTGAGTTTTCTGTTGGTTTCCGTTTAAAACCCTTCAAAAAAGGGGCAGCCTGAAAAGCAGACAGCCACTACCCCAGAGTTGGGCACCGGTTAAGGGAACCAACAGGAAACCAGTCGCCGTGTCTCGCCTAAAAGATGGGGGGAGAGGGGTGACAAGGCTCCCTATGCTTCTTTTGGAGTTTCCTTTTGACAGCTGGAGGCGAAATGTGGGGACTGAGTGACTCTGGGCCCTTGAATTTTCGTGGAACTTCCATGAGCCATACGTCCAATGGGTCACCGTTTGGGTTGGATGATCGCCTAGGTCCCCAGTAGTGCACTTCTCTCCCCTTTTTTGGGGGGGAGGGTTCCCCTACTAAAATAGACTACAGACAAAAGAAACGGTACCCTTGTTCTAACCTCTCAAATCTGGAGGACCTAGTGGCAATGATCGTGAGTTGGGCGCAGTTCATGCACATTCCGTCCTGGCCCTCCTGGTCAAGCCTTTGGGTTGGCGCAGGAGACTGTCCGAGCTTTAGTGGAAGGCACGCGACAGAGATGGAGGGGCGGGCGGAGGAGGGGCTTCTGAACCAATTCGTTGCCAAGCAAAGCCAAAAAGCTTCAACCGGTGCTTCCGGGCCTTTCATATTTCTACCTCTAGTTGTTTTTCATGAGTAATTTCACCTGGTTGCCTGTGGTGGTAAGTGGAAGCACTGGGTTTAGCGTACGAAGCTCAAGTTGCAAGCCACCGCGGGAATTTGGTGGAACCCTGGTAGAACCCTCATGGAACCTTACCTCAAACCACCCGGACCCCACAGGCCTCGCAGAACCTGGTGGAACCCTCGTGGAACCTTACCTCAGGGCCGCCCCGGACCACCCCGGAGCCTATCTGGGCTGAGACCCCAAAGCTTTCAGCTGTTGGGGAAAAAAACAAACAATCTGGTCGTTTCGTTTTGGTTTCCCAAAGGGAGACCACTAGAAAGTCGTACAGCTCCACATCTTCCCAAAGGGAACCCCGCGAACCCCAGCCTTTCCAACGAAAGGCCCCTTGTTTGTCTTTGCAAGAAAAGGTATAACGACACTTAGCTCGTTTGGGGGGCGGCTTGGAGCAACCCAGTTCAACCACTTTTCTCACCAAAAAGAAAAAACAACTTCGTCGGAGCTTCCATTCCTACCTTCTAGTCACCTGCGGTATGTGCAGCACGTTGGCCAGCTCCATAGCCCGAACTGCTTGTGGGAGCTGCCGACCAATTTCTGCTTCTGCTAGCATCCAGAGTGGCGTTGAAGGGGGCGGATCTTGCTTCTTGCTTCTCAAACCGAAGCGCCCTTAACTGGTGAGCTATGTTTTGTCGCTTGATCCATCTAGTGGTCAGAGCATCAGTAATCATCAGAGTCATCAGTGGCCAGGTTCAACAGGCTTTCAGTCATCAGTCTCTCTGATCCAGGCGGGGCGGACGTGAACATGGAGGTGGAGGGCTGGCCCTTGATCGAGCTAGCAGCGCAACGGAGGCAGTGGCAGGTCACCAAGTGCCGTGCTCAGATTGTCAGACTGTCAGAGCCGAGCGGAGCCCAGCAGTTCAGCATATCATGGGCATAGGTGTCCTTTGTGGTTGTTTTGGTAGAAAAATAGATGGCGATTCTTGGTTTACTTGGTGCTTGAATCACCTACCAGGGAAACCCATCTATTTCCCACCTATGATCATAGGCGGCTCTTGTTCTTGTAGTTGGCGATGTTGTGAGCCAAGAACCCTAAAAACAAACACTCAATGAAGGAGGTTGCAAAATAGTGCTTCCGGATAGGTGCTGCACAAATGTCACAGCTCCGCACCATGGGTGCATTCCCAAAGTTGGAGGCCCCTCCCTTTCCTGGACGATGAAAGATGAGACCAGGCTCCAAGGTTTCTCATTGGTCCAGTTGCTCAGATCGCATCCCCCGCCGGCCGCCGCGGCCCGAACACCACCCCACCGCCTCCATTTTCTGAAGGGAGCCCTGGGCGGTCTCTTCGTCCTTTTTTAAGGCTTCCTGACATTTGCCTCTGGTGATGAATCAGGCCACATGTCACTTCCATCAGGCTCGAATTGTTGATGACATCAGCATGAAGCGCTTGTTTGATGCAGAGCCAGAGATGCATGCTCTTCGCATAAGAGAGGAAGTGGAAGGTTTGAAGAACCAGGCGTCCGCTGATGCTCTCACAGAGTCGAGCTTGGCGTTCTAATTTCATACGCTGGATTCGAAAGAAACCCAAGTGTAGAACATTGCAGTTCCCTTTGGTTTGCCTTGCAACACATGTCTACCCCGACGATTCGATATGGAGGAGCAGCACTAGAAGCTACAGGGCCCAATTACTTCCCCCCCATGGAATCCAAGCCCATGAAAAATCACACCCTTTTCCAACAAGACCGCGAGTTGGTGCGCAACGAAGTCACGGAACTGCGAGTTGCCTTGGCTGGGCTCTGAAAAAGATGGTTGACCCCAGCATGTGTGTGTGTGTGTTCTTCATCATGAAATCGGCTATATCAGAAATGGCTGGGAAGCCGACTGAATGAACCGGGCAGCTTCTGCATCAAACATGAACCTTTTCGCGACACTTGGGCGTGCCTTTTTGTGGATGGAACCCTCTTTGGGGTTGGTTTAACGGGAAACCAAAAGCAAGCCCATCATTTTGGGTGTCCCCCCCAAAAAAGCACAGACACCAATGTGGGTGTGTCCTTTTGGCTGTTTTTTTTTTTGGGGGGGGGGTTTCCGGCTTAGGCCCGCTGAAGCTGAAACCTGTGAGGCTGAAATCCGGGAGCCTTCACACCGGGATACTCCAGGAACCTGTTGAGCAACCGTTATTTACCCAAGGGGAACCCAAGGACAGCGTATAAAGCTTAGTAGTTGCACGTTTCCAGGGGCTGGCGTGGGCGTCGTTGGGGCTTCAATGGGGCTTGAGTGCAAAAAGCCCACCCTTTTGCTGGGCCTCCACTTTCTGGAGAGAGAGAGAGAGCGAGCGCGAGAGAGAGAGAGAGAGATAGAGAGAGAGAGAGAGGGAGCGAGAGAGAGAGGGAGAGAGGGAGGGAGAAGAGACCCCCCTTGTTCAGGTTTTCCCCTATTTTGTTCAGTTTGGGCGCCTTTTCAAGCAATGGCAGCTTCCATTTGTTTAAGAATATACTTTTGTTGTTTTATTTCCCCTTATTTTGAAAGGAATCGATTTCACTACTGGACATATGTTTCATTTTTTCCGGGCGAAAACGCAAATTGGAAGTGTTTGTTGGACCTCAGCTAACCCTGTGCACCCCATAAATTTCACTGAGTCACCATGGTGAGGGATGTGGACCAAAGGAATTGCAGACACACGAGTGGTCCATCCGCTCGCGAGGTGCCTTCTGGAAGCCGGCGCCTCCTGGCCTTGGAGCTTTGCAAGCGCCGAGTTCAAGCTGGGCGACAAGGCAGCGCCGGGGGGCAGCGCGCGGGGTTAAAGGCGAAAACCCCTTTGGGGTTCCCTGCAAACGCGCAAGCACAAGAACAAGCATTGAAAAAGGAAACGTACTTGATTGCTGTTGGGTGGGATCTTTAGACTTTAACAATTTAATGGAAATCGAGGGTTTTCCATTGAGCCCACAACAAGTTCAACTTTTTGCAGAGGGGTCAACAGCGACCAAGGTTAAGGGGCCGGACTGGTTGGGCTTCGACTGGGTTAAGGGGCCCAACAAAATTTGCACGTCATTCTCTTGTCTTGGGTTCCCAGCGCATCGTCCGGTTCCGTAGGTTTTGAGTTGTTTCGTTTCCACTTCAACTGAACGTTAGAATTTGAGCAGGGATCTGGGAACAGCCCAGTCATGACTTGATAGTTCAAGCGCCCCATGACACACGACAAAGTTTGCGGCACTTTCTGAGAAGGCAATCTAACCTGAAAAGTGCTCAGCCGGTACAGCCGAGACAGGGGAGTTCCCCTCGAAAGTGATTGAAGTCTCACTTTGCGGTGGGACAACGGCTATCTGTCTTCCATTCGCTTAAGAATATGTTTTTATTTTGCCCTGTTGGTTTTAAAGGGAATCTATCTTTCTTTTTTTTTCCAGGGGGGGAAAACGCAAATGGAAGCTGTCCACACCGCTCGGGCTGGATTTGTTGCACCAAGCACCGAAAACAGTTTTTTCATTTGGGCGCCGGGGAGGAGATGTCTCTTGGGACGGGTCGCTGTGCCCTGAGTCTGAGTTCCTGGGCTTTACACCTTCACTTTTGGAGCTGAGGGGACCACATGGTAGTCGCACGAAAGGATTCCTTTGCGCTTTCAGGAGGTCCAGGGCGTTTTGTGCGTCACTTTGGAGGTGAGGGTTTGCACCCTTTTTGTGTCGCAAGCAACGAGTTCCGGGGCTTGCATGTCCTTTTTGGGGTCTCGACGACTTTGGCCAACAAAGCGTTTGGACCTTTCGCCACTCAAGAGAGATGTTTCGCTTGGATTTCCCGAAGCCCTTCCGACCCGTGGCTTTTTCCGTGTTGGCTTTCCTTCCGACCGCCAATCAAAAATCCTGACCCTCAAAAAAGGACACCCAGAAGACACAAGGTGGAACTTGTCAAAGGCCTTTGGTGGCATCCCTGGGCTCTTTCGGCTGGCTCCGATGTGTTCAGGGGTATCCGCTGGGTTGAACGCTGACCAAACCAACAGAGAGGCTATTGGCTGCTTTCGGGAAAGTCATCGGTTATTTATGTAAAACATGGATTTTGACTATTTGTAGAAAAGGCGTTTCAGAATGTCCAATACAAGTTGCGCACCCCAAAGTGTTGACTATCGACTGGCCTGGCAGCGTTGGGAGCTTGGTCCTGAGGGTTGACTCGAGCGGCAGCTCTTTTTTGGATTCTCCTCGAAGGAAGACAACTGGTCAGGCAGATGGTTTGGGGATTTGATCCCCTGGTTCTTGCAGAGCGTAAATGGGAAACCACCCCTAGCCTCTAGAACCGCAATCCAAGCCACCAATGAAGGGCAAGCTGAACTGGAAGTTCAACGGAATGTCATCGTCAATAAGGTTCAGTAAATATGAACCAGGATCAAGCATCTGAATCTTTGGTTAGGGGAAAAGCTCCGACCATAGAAACCTCGAGGCCGTGTGGCGACCCCGAATCCCCCCCCTCCCGCGGCCGCAGCCCCCTCACAGCGAGACGACATGGTTGGGCAAACGGTTGGCTTTATGTCTGTGTGTGCGTGTGCGTGTTTGTGTGTGTGTTTTTTGGGGTTTTTCGTTTTTGTTTTCCCCATTTTTTTTCTTCTTCTCGGCGTACCCTTTGGGACCCCGCGCCTGAGGGCCGCAATTTTCCTTGGGCCAAGCGGCGCTTTTCTCTTGAGCTTTTTAGCCCAACCTCGGGAGCGCGGGGTGGTTTTTCCTTGATTTCCCATCATAAATTTTCCTTGATTTCCCATCACAAAGGTCGGGGCCTGCCTTTTTTGATGGTACCCCTTTGGGGTTGGCTTCAAGGGAGCCAAAGAGAAAGCAATGCATGTTTGGGCGAACCCTCCAAAACGGATCTACTGTTCCCTTGTCGGTTGTCTTTAGAAGTACTCGAAACAAGATGCACCCAAGCAGGTGATGGTTTTGTTTTTGAAGCGGGCTGATTTGATGATTTGAAGCGGGACACCTTCCGAAGGTTGGGATGTTGATCCGAAAACGCCCGGTGTTTTTTTGTTTTGATGGATCCTATGAGGTATCCCTGCGTTGGTGCTTTGAATTGGTGGCTTGTATTTATTGGGAAATGGTAACCCAACGTCCAAACACGGCATCCTCCATGTCCTTTTTGGAGCCTCCAAAAGCGACAAGGTAAGGCAACCCCCCAGGAAGTTGATCAACTCTCTCCCGCTATTGGGTTGGATCTTTAGATATCTTTAGACCTTAACTTCTTGGGACATTTCTTGGGGGTTTCCACGAAACCCCCCAAAAAGTGAACAACTTTTTGGAGGGTCAACAGCAACCAAGAATCGATCGGGGGAATCCAAAGGCTCCAAGCTCATCCTAGCAGACCCCTGGGCCCAGCTCGTTTTTCCTCCCGCATCGCCATCCATGAACCGCGGCCAGACATACACCATGCCTTTGGCGCAGCCCAGCTTGGAGGAGACGTACTAAAAAGAAGGGGAGTGGGAGGTTGATGTGGTTTGTTCTTGAGTTGGGTACCGTGTTTTTTCACCTTTGACAGCAACCGCTTCTACACCAATTATTTGACACATGCCAATTGGCCCATAAACTATGAATTCCAATTGGGAACTCGTTGGTTGGTTGCTAAAGGGTCTTCGACCCCCCTTTGGTTCAAAGGAAAGAAAGACTTTCGCCCAGCGATTTGATTTTTCAGAAAAGCAGGAAGCCAAGGGTGGTTCCCTACTATCCACTGGGAAAGGACAGCTAGTAGTTTTTGAAATCCTCATCGTGGAACAGGTGGCTTGTTTGGCTGGTTTGGCTGGTTTGGTCGGTTGGTCGGTCGGTCGGTCGGCTGGTTGGTCGGTTGGTCGGCCGGCTGCTTGGTTGGTTGGTCGGTCGGTCGGTTGGTTGGTTGGTTGGCCGCAGTTGGAGCTGATTTGCGCTAGCCATTTTGCAGTGGATTTAGGATTGTTTTAGGCTGTGATTCTGTGAGTTTGGTTGTGGCCGTAGGCTGCCAAAGGTCTGAGCAAGGCCGGTGATGCTAGGGTTCCAAGCCCGCATTGTACCGAGCCAGTGAAAAGCCGGGGCTAGTTAATAAAACAAGCACCTCAACCCATATACATATTAAATATCTCTCTCTCTCTCTATATATATATGTCCGGGCAAAGTAGTTCACAACCCACCGGGGCTTTCAGTGATTCGGCTACCATCACAAGACCAGTCGCCACGCGAAGACGGCAATGGAAGCGAGGTTTGTTTTTGCCCCTAAGCTTCCTTTTGACGGGTTTCAAGGGAAAACAAAATGAAGGTGCAACTTTAGAGGGTCCCCCCCAAAAAGGTCGCTGTCCTTTTGATTTTCCCCTAAATCACCACACAAAAAAGGAGTATGTACCCGCAAAAAAGGACACCTTCGGCACGCTCGTGTTTTTCAAAAACCAGTGGGATGGGGGCCACGTAGGCTTGACGTAACCGGTTTGGTGCACTTTCAGAAGGCTTCCCTGTGAAGCTGGTTGTAAATTTGTTTTGGGAGAAGGGCAAACCGGGTAGCCTTTTACGCAACTGGCCAACCGGGGTTCTTGACATGTAACCATGGGCATATCTGAGCAGCTGTTTGGATGATTCCCCCCAAACCCAATCAGTATATAGCCAAAGGATGTATACCCTGCTTTCTCCTGGAGGTAGGAATTCTCTTACAAGCAAGGGGGCCTGTGCACTTCTGGGCTACTCTGAGAGTACTCCGGCTTGCCCATCAGCCTTGTAGATAAAATGAAGGGATGCCTAGAAAAGAGGCTCATGGGTATGCATGAAAATAAGGGCCTCTGTGCTTCAAAGTGGATGAATTGTGTGGCCGTCTCAGCACAACCAGGTGTGGGTGCGTCTTTTTTTTAGGGAACCCTATTTTGGGGTTGGTTTTAAAGGGGCACCAAAGAAAAGTCACTTCTTTTGGGAGCAAGTCAGACAGAGCCGAGTATTTATGGGAGGCCAAAGCGCAGATTCAGACCTTCCGTAGGCCCCTTGACGGGATTTTCTACCGCTGGTGGCCCCCCAATTCAGTGTGAATAGAATCGAAAAGCGGCTCTAGTCTGGTTGTGGAAAATGGTTGGACTTTGGCAGGAAGCCAGACAAGCGGATGGGCGTTAGGGAGTTTCCTCTGTTCATTTGCACGGGTTTGTCTCAAAATAAGGGGGGAGGGGGGAAGCCTACAACCATTTACACATGGTGGTTTCTCTAACTGCAGTTTTCCATCAAGGTCTCTTGATAGGACATAGTTGTTTGGGAAACCACCATTTGAGCGGAGTTTATATATATATATAGGTATACATATATATATATATATATATAACGGTAGCAAGGGGGCAAAAGGAGATTGGACATATCAGGCCCCGCGTAGGCATATTACTGCACGCGCATAGCCACTTTTGGACACTCGGCTGGGGAGCTCCTTGCGTAGGTGCTGCGTAGTCTCCACTTATAACGCACACCGCGTAGGCACTTTGAGAGCAGAACTCCAACCACGTAGGCTCGCGGCTCGCGTAGGCGTTTTAAGCCTTACATACACCTCGCGTAGGCCATTCCGAATGGTATTTGCACATGGCGTAGGCGCCGGCGTAGGCGTCTGATACGTCATCAGCATTACCTTCCCAAAAAGACTCTGTTTGTAAATGGTTGCTTCAGGTTCCAGGAATGGGACATCCCCTTTAGAGGCTATTTTTGAAATCGGTTCCGGTTCGGTTCGTCGGTTTCGGTGACGTCGAAGGACTCCAACTACAAGTTCTGCAAGGCCGCAGAGACCAACGATGCTGTCCAGGCGACTGAGCGACTGAATGATTGGATGGCGCGCCTGAGGTTCTGAACTGCAAATGAGTAAAGCAATGTCGACTCCATATTAGTCAACCCCAGTTTATTAATAGGGGGGTTCCCCTGGGTGAAATGTGGGGAATCTGGACGGGAACACCCCCCCTATTAATGTCGACTCCATATTAATCAATCCCATTAGTAGGGGGGTGTCCCTGGGTGCAATGTGGGGAAACAGACCACTTTTGGAGGCCCCCACCCCCCTTTGTTAACAAACAGGGGTTGATTACTGTGGGGCCAACATTGATCCCATATTTCTAGGGGTTGGTTCCAACCATTCTTTTCAACCATCGTTCTTTTGGGGAAGGTGCCCCTAGAAATATGAATCAACCCCAGTTTCTTTGAAATGTGGGGAATCTGGAGGGGAACAGCCCCCTGTCAAAGGGGTGGATTAATCTAGGGTTGACATTACCTGACTCAGCCAAGGGCAAGATGGCATCAGAGCTCCCGTCCGAGTTCTTTGAGTCATTTGGGAGAAGTTGAGTAAACCAAAGGCCTTGTTCCGTGTTCTTGAGACGTGTTTTGGGTACCTGCCGGGTCGGTTCTAAAGGGAAACCAGCCATTTGGGGCCTACCCTAAAAGACACCCACGAAGTTTGGACTTGTGTTGGCCAATCCCTGCTAAGAATCACCACAAAACCTGCAGTTTTTGTCGATGTTTCCATTTACCAGGCTTTTTTTTGGGCCCCTATTTGTGACCCACAGCCAATTATGGGGCTGTAAAGAGTGCTTTTGCGCCTGGACCCCAGTTCGCGACCCCTTGCCTCTGCCTTTCTAGGGGTTGATTCCGTTTCCATTATTTTCAGCCATCGTTCTGTTCAAAACCGATCGCTATTTCCCCAGGGTGTTTGGCGGTTTTCTAGAAAGAAGGATCCCTGAAAAGAATGGACATGGAAGTTGCCCCTAGAGCCTTACCACTTTTGTGTGGGTCGTTCAATTTTGACCCACACCCAATTTGTGATGAGCGTTTGGTTGGTTGTGGGAATTTCTTGTGAGCATGATGGCAAGAGCTAAGAGAAACGAAAGAGAATCAGGGATCCATTTGAAAACAAACCACATCAATTCTTGGGTGTCCTCGTGGTTCAGTTTCATTGAACATGGATGGCCCAGCTTAGACGGGACTTAATGAATTGCCAGTTAGTCTATCTATTTCTCAAAGCACCACTTTGATCCCAATCCCAGTTTGATCACAAAAAAAACAACCGAGCTTAAGGACCCAGCGCTGGACATCTCCGGGGGTTCGCTTTGGCCCACAGTTTGCACCGCATGTTACGTGTGCCACACGGTGGAACGCGAGACCTCGATACATGGCACTTGGCAGGAGATTCCCCTCACAGAAAGTGGCAACCTGAAACCAAACTTGCATGCCTTAGGGTCCCTCTACTCCGCAGAGTTGCTTCAATTTGACCCACACAGAAGACCAGCACCAATTTTCTTTCCACTTGAACTGGGGATTCGGCAGTCCCCAACCTGACCGACTACAAGTAGCTTTGTCAGGCATGACTCTCCGACAAATTCTGGAAACTAGGTCCTCCAGTAGAGCGGTTAGAATAAGGGTGCCCTTTTTTATGTAGTCTATTTTAGTAGGGGAACCTTCCCCCAAAAAAAGTAAAAGGGCACTACTGGGGGACCTAGGTGGAGACATACAAAGAAGGCACCTGTCTGAAGGGTGCTTTACACATCTGGCCAAAGTAGCGGCGATGGCTGGAGTTTGGAGAACTTGCCCCGTTCGACTTCATGGAAAGGGGGAGGAACGTCCTGGGCCAGACTTAGACAACCTGTACAATGTGGAGGACCTTGATGGTGATATGGTCCCCCTGATTACCTATGGTGGTGATATGTGACTGGAAACACATCCATAGGATTCTACCTTGGCATCGCGACAAAGTGGTGGATTTCGGGGCTTGCAGAACCTGGGACCCGTTCAAAAGAAGCCATACCACACCAAAGCAAGTTCTTCTTGCGGGTGTCAACATATCACAGTGATGTTGGAGCCGAAGCCTTACGATACAGCAAAAGCATTGTGGAGCCATTCGTGACGTGTGTCTGGCTTGGAATGTCTGTCTGAAATTTCAACTGGTTCTAAAACCGGTTTGAACTACACGATCATTGGTGCTTGTGTGAATTGAACTTGTTCAGCAGTCCCACACTTTTCAAAACATGCCATTTCGCAATATAACACGTGACCGTTGTCCAGAGAACCGAAAAGCAACAACTCGTTTTTCTTGGGGGGGGGTAGTCGTTCAGGTGGATTCTACAAGAGCCCCTGCTGTGCTGTGGGGCCAAAAGACCCTACCATGGTCATCAACCACCAATGGAAGGTGTCTGGAGCCATGACCCAGATTTGGGGGAGGGGCTGGCCATGGCACAGACGAGATTTTGTGCACATGAACTCAACGCCTGGTTGTGGGGTGGGGCAAGTGTAACATTGTGATACCAAAGTGGGAATCAACCGCTTTTGGTATCACATGGGGGTTTTAAACAACCAATCTAAGGGTTTCTAGCGCTATGACTCAGATTTGGGGGGGGGGGGAGGTTGACCATGGTGCCACAGAAACGGGTCCTGTTCAAAAAGCCCCCCGCCGATTCGCGCATTCGGCGAGGTGATCAGCTACTTGGTGGCGGGCAAGGACATCGACTTCGGGCTGCGCCTTGGATTGATGGCTGACCCCAAAGGAGTCCAGACTCGTGATCGAAATTTGCGTTGTGTCTTGGGTATCCCTATGTATCCCTGGTGTGTCGTGACCATCCAGGCTTGTGTCTTGGGTATCCCTTCTGGTGTGTGTGGTTTGTTGGGAAACCCAAAGGGGTTACCCTCCAAAATCGGGGGTCTCGAATTTCTCTACTTCCCCAAGCCCCCAGCGGCCCGGAAATCAGTTGGTCCATGCTTTAAAGGTCTAGCTGCACCCTCAAACTACCCTTAGAAAGTGGGCTTGTTGCCCCTAAATGATGGGGTGTTGGTTCCCGTTTTTTCTCTTTCTTTCGGGTAGTTTGAGGGTCTAATGACCTTTTGCTCGTTCCGTGGCGGTGGGAGCCAACTATTGTGGTTTGGTCAAGGTTTCTACGGTCCACTGGGAGAACTGTACACGGGAGTCATGACACCCACAAATGAGTCCATGGGAATCTGAGGTTGAGCATCCAGGGGCCTTTGCTGAACCCCGCGTTGCGTTTTCCGTGGGTGGCAAAAGGGGTGTTTCGGGGCTACATGTTCAGCGGGGACCGGAACTTCGGCGTTGCCGAAGATGTTTCATGCTCCCCCGGCCAAGGGATCACGAAGACCGGAAATTCGGCGTCCATTTGCCGAAGATGGTTCATGCTCCCCCGGCTAAGGGATCACTAAACCCTGGATGGCGCAGAACCCTGGATCGGGGGATGTCCCCTTTTGGAGGGAACACCTCGGGTTTGTTCATCCGGAAAAGCGTTCCCCGGTCTCTCGGGACTTGTACAACTGGAGCTAAATCCCCCCAATCTTTGGGGGTGGGGGACTGCCTTTGTGAGTTGGGATACATTTCTGGGGGACTCGTGTAAATGACTGGGGGGGCACTTCCATTTGCTGAATATATGCGTTATTTGCCGCTGTTAGTTTTGAAGGGAATGTTATCACTGACGGATTATGATTTTTTCCAGGGGACTGAGGCGTCTAGAAGCCCCAAGACCATGGGACAGTCTGGTTCCAGCAGCAGGTAGGTTCCGTCGGTGTCTGCTTCCTTGATTTATTGGCTCGTCCAGCCGGGGCCCGCTTTTTTGGGATCGACTTGTGGTTGCAGTGCGTTTTTTTTGTTCGCTCAACTTGTGAGACTCTGCTTGGTCATGTCGACCTTAAGAGCCTCCCGACTGGCCCCCGTGGATTTCGACCTGGGGTGATAAATCAGGGGTCAGCAAGGGAGCTGTTTTAGCCCGGCTCAGACGGAGATGTTGCTAGTCCCACTGTTCAAGCTAAATTTGTCTCGCGACGTTTCTTCAAGCAATGCCAGCAACACAGCCCGAGGGTCCCCTGGTGTCTTTTTGATCACTGGCTCTTGGTTTTCCATCTATCGTTTTTATTCCACAAGGTCACCTCTTGGGGTTTGTCTCAAAACCACAAGGAAGCCACTTCTACTGTGGATGGACGAAATTCTGTTTCACCTAAAAAGACTCCCGGAATGATTCGATTGCCCTCGTAAATACCAACAAACGTTATGGCATCAACCATGGTTTCTTATCCCGCACCACTTTGAAACCATGATGGAAGCTACAGGGGGCATCGAATCATTCCATGGTTTCATTTCGTGGCAACCATCCACTCAAAGGGACCACTTCCTGAGACCAAACCCCCCAAAAACCCCTGGTTCCCCCTATAATTACCAACCATTCTGGTACCAACCATGGTTTCATTTCGTGGTGCGAGAGGCGGATTTGGCAACCGTCCACAGTGGCGAAACCACCCCTGAGACCCCAAAACACTTTCCTGTACCACCTAAAAGACTACTGGAATGACGATTCCCCTGTAAATGCCAACAAACATACAGGTTTCTCAGGTGGTGCGAGAGGCGGATTTGGCAACCATCCACTGAAAGGGAAACCACCCCCTGAGACCCGAAAGCCCTCTTTGCTTCCACTGGTTCTTGGTTTTCCATCTATGTTTTTTTTTCCAGAAGGTCACCGGTTGGGTCTCAAACCTTGGTGGCTCCCAGCCATCCAGTTCCTTAGCTTTTTAGCCTTTTAGTGGTAGTTTCCGTATTTTTAACCCAATAAAAGTCAGCCACTTTTAGCGGATCTAAAAACGGGCAGCCCAGAAACCAAAAGGAAGCCGCTCATGGGGAAACCGCCCTGAGACCTTCCAAGGTGTTGGACCCCGGCGCTTGAGTGGTACACCACCGCCCTCGGCCACGCAGCGTTCCACCAGCAGAAGGCCACCCCGAGTTTCGTTAAGCGAAACGAGACGAAAAAGTTGGGTCGGTCTTTGGAGTGAGTACCCTGGTTTGGGTGGTTTAAAAATTTAGAAGGGAAACCAAACAACAAAAAGACTCCTAAACCTAAAAGAACCCGAGTCGGCGTCGAAGACTTAGTTCGTTTCGCGTGCCCTGTTTTGGATGGTCTATAGAAGGAAAACCAAAAAGCAAAAAGACTCCTAAACCTAAAAGAACCCGAGTCGGCGCCTAAAAGACTTGGTTCGTTTCCTAAACCTAAAGAACCCGAGTCGGCGTCGAAAAGACTTGGTTCGTTTCGCGTGCCCTGTTTTGGGTGGTTTAGAAGGGAAACCAAAAAGCAAAAGACTCCTAAACCTAAAAGAACCCGAGTCGGCGTCGAAAAGACTGGGAAAGCCACCCTTTTTGGTTGGTTTTCAAGGTAAACCAAAGGAAGGCCTGCAAAAGAGCCCTAAAAGAAGACACATCTGTTTGTCGCGAACGGAGCGGATGGGTCTTTTTTTCCGCGTTTGGTGATCACCGGTTTTCGTTGAACTCTGTGGGCACGAAGGCCGCTTTGGGCTTTGACGCAGGGTAGCTTCAGGGCGGGTAATCTGGGCTGGGCTAGTTAGAGTGAGCTCAGTTGTTCAGATCACGAAGATCCCTCGCGATGAACTTGTTTCCAGTTCTCATGTTTCTGGAGCCAATGAGTCTATCGCGCGAATGCATAGAAGCTTGACTTCACACTTGACCTACTGTGGACTATCGCAATTCGCTCAGAGGAGTTTTGAAGGTGGAAACCAAACGTGGCTTGTCTTTAAACCCCTGTATTTCGCTACTGATATCCTCATGAATTGGAGGGGGCCAGGTGGCTTTCGGAACGCGATGCGTTCGCCAACTCCTGCCAAGTTGCTGTGTGCCGCTTCGGATTTTGTTCGTTGGCGCTTCTTTCTTTCTTCAGCGAAGCAAAGGTTCGAAAGGCCCCGAAATTAAGCTGAAGAAGGCAACTCGCAAATGAAAGCGCTCCGGAAATCCCGGCAGCCGCGCGGATTTCCCACTTTGAGTTGTACCTTTTGGGACCTCTTTTGGGTTCCACCGTTTTACCCAGACCTTCAGTGACCTCGTGTGAAATATGTGGTTGCCGAGGAGTTCCCTTTAAAACTGCCAAGCAAGACTTGGTGGTTCGCAGCATCCCCTCAAGTTTTTAGCTTTGTAGTTGGTTTAGCGGTATTTTCCACTAAACCACTGAAGGTTGTAGACTTTTGGCGGGGGATCTGGGAAGCCAAAAAACACCCATTCGGAGGTTCCCGACGGTTTGGGTCAAGTTGCAAGGGATGTGCTCGTCCAAAGTCGCATCCATCAAATGGCCAAAGTAATCCCATGCCATGGTCGGCTCGCCCCTTTATCCGTGGCACCGGGCCCATTTTCAGGGATAAACCCAGAAAACAGACCTGGTTTTTACAAGGAACGGTTGCTGAAAGGAATGGGGTTGTTATGTCTAGAATCGACAATCTTTGAGGGTGTCCCCTTTTTTGTTCTTCATAGCCATGTTTTTGCGCAACCAACCTATAACTCTAGCACGTTTGTACGGTTGGTAGAACCGGATGGGGTTCCTGAGATGTTGCCCTGAGCATGTCAATAGCTTCCTTGTGGCTGCCTTTCATCATGTATTCCCTATTTAACCCTGAATGTGGCCTTAGCTTATCCTGCGCTCATCCAGGTGTACTAGGGATAGCCCCCCGGATAGCCCCCCCTTGAGGGTCAATGATTCTGACTACCCTTTTTCCATTTTGCTGACCCCTGTGTTTCGAAATTATGTAGCAGACCGTGGCATGCTGAAACATGCTCACCATGCTTTGCTAACTACTTGCACCAGGAATGGTTACCTCCTTTGGCGTTTCATGGAAGACCGGGTCCCTAACCATACCCATCTCCCTGCAAAGTGCGCTTAGGATACCGAGCCTCAAGAAAGGACTCTCAAGCAGTACTGTGGATGGACAAATTCCTGCATCACCTAAGAAGCGCTGGCCTCTGTAATCACCAACGAACAATGGTTTTCCATGGTTTGAAAGTGGTGAAGGATTTGGTTCATCCACAGTAGGGAAGCTTTTTCTGGGAGTTTCTCAACTCTGGCTTCCCGTGTGGCTCGAATCGGACCAGCCGCCTACGATTCGATTCCACCCCTGGGAAATCGGTCCTCTTTCGGATGATTTCATTCCCCAGGCAACCAAGAGAACCACCCCTTTAAAGCCCAAAAGAACTACCCCAGGTATCCAAAGGTTGCCCATGCAACACGGAGTTTTGGGCAGTCCACGGTGTCGATCTGGTTGATCTCAGGACATGGTGAAGCTGCTCAAAGAGGCCGGCGCGTCTCAGGACCAGGCAGGGTTGTTTTCGAAGCGTCCAGGGACAGGCTTTTTGGTTGGGGTGGAAGAACAGGTGTGTGTGTGTGTGTGTGTGTGTGTGTGTGTGTGTGTGTGTGTGTGTGTGTGTGTGTGTGTGTGTGTGTGTGTGTTTTTGGGGGGTTGTTTTGGTTGTTTTGGTTGCTTTGGTTGCTTTGGTTACTTTGGTTGTTTGTTTTTTGTGTTTGTTCTGGTTGTTTTGGCGATTCCTGGTTTACCTGATGGTTTACTCATCTACCAGGGCCATCGATTTGCCCTAAAGAACACCTATGGGTACAGGTTTTCTTTTTTTAGGTGCGGCCCACATGCTCACAAATTGGCACTCTTTGATTTTTCTGACGCGCAACTTTTTGCATTGGGACACCAAAGGGCACCAGTCATTGGAAGGCGTCCCCGAAGCGAGAAACAGTTGGTGGTAACAACAAGTCGGGACTTCGGCCAATCCGCTCGATGTTTGAGGTAAGAAGTGAATTCTGGAACTGAACCCCAAGTCCAGGTGTGGGGCGGATCCCACATTGCAACCAGTGTTAGTGTTGTTGGCGGCTTGTGTGTGTGTTGTGTATGTGTATGTGTATGTGTATGTGTATATGTATGTGTGCGTGTGTGGGTGTGTGTGGGTGTCTTCCATGATGTCACCTGGACTTATTCACATGCGCTCCCTCCAATCAACGCTGACATTCCTTGGGCCCACTTTTTGGGGACGGGCTCCCCATCTTCCACGAGCCCACGAGCCCGGGCTCTCTTCCGAAAGATGGGGTTGTTCGGAGGGTGGGCCTGGCTGGATCCCTCCAGCTTTGCCACTCCCAGGAAGTCAGGCCAAGACACATGGAACAGAGAGCCGCATCTTTTCTCGCGCCGAACCCGCCAGCGCCTTCCCAGCGCTGTTGGGGAAAAGTCCATCGCCAATGCTGGGAATCCATGCACCTGGGTCCCCCCGAAACAGCAGCAGGTCGATGATGGAAGCACCGGGCTGGGATTATTATTATTGGTTCAAGCCCGAAAAGGCCAGCGATGTGTATGCCATGGTCAAAAGATAGGTTTCTTGCTGGGGGTTGACAGGGATGGTCATCCAGTTGGTAAGGATCCGTGCCAACCAGGATGTTTGGATTATAGGCCAAAGTGAAAGAAGCGGAGTTTTGACCATGGCGCGTATCTGAACCTAGGATCCTCTGGATTCAAATGCATGCTGGTGGGTCATGGCCGTGCATGGCTTCAATGCCTTCTCGCTTGTGGAAGTTGGGTTTTAGGTCGCCACTTCTGTGGCCGGAATCCTGTTGACAATGTCAAGGCTGCATTGCTCTGAATCAGCAAACGGGCAACACTCCAAGTTGCCCTCCGAGCAGCACAGTCATAGCAAAGGGGAAACCAAAAGGTAGTCTACTGTTCGTTTCGGGAGGAGAAGGGGGTTGTCCGTTTGATGCCAAGGGGTCAAGAGGTGGTGGCGAGTATGGTGGTGAGTGCGGTGGTGGAGCGGGGTGGGGGGGGGGGTGGCGGTGGTGTGGTGGGGGGGGGGGGTGGGTGTTGGGAGGGGTGGTGTGTGGGGGGGCGGAAGTCCGTTTGCAGAGTTTCAGGGCCACCTACAAAGTGGAATAACCCCACCCCCACCCGCCCCCTTTCGCCGTCCGTCCGCTCGCTTTGGCGTTTTCCTCAGGCGAAGTCCTGCAGCGCCCAGCAGAAGCTCTGCCCCACCTTCGGCTGCTTCCGCTGCCTCGGGGCCTGCGAGGCCTACCACTCCCAGGATGCCGGGCACCCCAAAAACGGACTCCGCGGAGTCTGAGGCAGGGGCTCCCGAGGTCACTTTTCCCAATTGTATTTGGACCTCAAAGTTCAATGGCCATGAGAAATTGAAATCAACTTGTGATTTAGAGAATTGGGATTTGCCCCCCCCCCCCCCCGATTTTCTTGTGGTTGAGTTCCAATCCAAGAAGCAACTACACAACAAAGGAGAGAGAGCAGACGCTTGAAGAGCACACTTTTCACGGCCAGTTTCTATGAGTGGCCAAGGGAATCCCCCTGCATTATAATATATGACATGTACACAGAACATCTAATATATGTATACATAGCTATATATCTACACATGCATCTATATGTACATATTATGGTCCACTTTGGTATTTGATGAAACCTGATGAACCCTCTAATGAAATCATGGTTCCTAAAGTGAGTCGCCTCAGCGTAGAAACCGATCAGAGGGATTCCCAGTGGCTTTGCAACTTTGGAGGTGGTGGGCCCCTTCAAAACCATCCAAAAACGAGAGCTCCACTCACTCCATTAGCCTCCAGCCTCCAAAAAAAACAAAAGTAAAACAGTTCAACTGGAGGAAACAGGTGTTTTTCTGCGACTCCCAAAACCCTCCATACTCTTGGAGTGGTTGAGGACCCTTCAAAACAGCCTCCAACCCCCAGCGGGTTGGTTCCCTTGAGGGGTAGGGTCTTGAGCAAGGGTGACGAAATTGTGCTTAGATGTTAGCGGATTTGCAGAGACCTTCTACAACTCTAATTCGAAACAGAAAACAAACATGATAATGCGAAATCCAATCTGGAATACAAACTATAATCGGTTTATGTTTTTGTCGAAGTCAATTTAAACTCTAATTGAATTGCAAAGTTCTACTCAGAAAGGAATCCCAACTAAATTGAACATTTAAGATATATGTCCAGTACGATTCGGATCAAGGATTTCTATATTGAGTCCCATTTGAATGCTATTCAAATTCGATTTGAATTGTAGAGCGCGGAGGTTGGGATTTTCCGCAAACGCTAAAAAACACTATGTTTCACGGTGTTGTCTGACCATGGTAGTTTTGGGGACTGGCAAACAAGAACGCGATTTTGGGACCTCTGAATTATTTCCTTTGCGTTCTACTTAATATGTCTATCAAACTCCACTCAATTTCTCCTGGAATTAGATAGAACACAATGAGGCAAAAATGCAATCATGATTTTTATGTTAGATTAGACCTCTAATTTACATCATAGTTGTTCTAGTTCAAGTTAACATTTACACATGACTTCCTTTTCAACAGACCTTTCACAACTCGATGATCATTAGACACAATTTATTCATCGATTTTGGGACCTCTGAATTATTTTCATGTAAACTCTACTCATTTGATTTATCACATTCCTCAATTTCTATGTGATATTAGACTAATTTTAACAAGGGACTACTCCATTCAGAATGTCTAGTTTAAAATAAAATCCAAGCAATCATCATTATATCTCAAGTTGTAATTTCAATGGATTGCGTTCCAATCGCATTGTCTTCGCAATTCAGTTTATTTAATGCTGCACCAAGGCCTGGATGTGAACTATACAAGTGCGCTTGAACGCAGAAGCTCGTGTACACAGACCTGGAAAGCAAAAAGTGCAACCAAAAACACCTTGAGAAAGCCAAAGACACCAATAATGCAGACCACCTGTCCTGTGAAATATGGGAAAAGCAAAACAGCAATACAGACCCCATGTCCCAGATCCTGGAACCAATGCCAGACCGTGACCCCACGTGAGCCACTCCCACAGTGTTGGTTTTTGGTGGTTTCTCAGGTTCTTTTTTGCGTGATGCGCCTTGTTTGACAATTGTTTCTCTGCGCCATTGCGTGGCAGATCAAAAACAAATTCAAGTACACATTCTTGCATGGTTTGCTTCCAGATGCTCATGTTCATGAAAAACCGCACGCCCAGGGTAGCGTGTTCTGTTTTCAGCCCTTCCCATGGAAATCCACTGGGGGTCTAATATAAAAATCGCCCCATCCCACTGAACGCAGCGAGGTGTGCGAATTTTGCGGAGAGCCAGACAGCTCTGGGACATGGGATGTTGCAGACCTTCAGTTGTGCCGTCGGACCTGCTTTTTATTATTATTCGGGTTTCCTCTTGAGAATCAAACAGCCCGAAAATTGCCGTTCCATTGAGCCTACCAAGGGGTATGGGCCAACACTGGCTTCATGTTGGTTGAGCCCGAAAGCCTTCGGTGAATGACTGAAGTTTGATTTACATCCGCCTTGCAAGCCCTTCCCGAGTATGGGAATCCCACTTTGGTATCACCGGAGCCATTTTCCACAAATACGCGCCATTGGTTAAAGGCTATCATGTTAGTCCGTATTTGCCAGGGAAATTAAACTGTCCTGGATCTTCCAATACATGGACATTTGACGTCAAATCTGGAGACTACCACTTTATTTAAGGGTCTCAGTGAAAAAGCACGGTGTTTTCAAACTCCTACTTTTTGAGATAGAACTCCTAGCAATTGATTGTCACTCCTGGAATTAGTTTGCACACCTGAAACTCCTTCAGACACGTTCAGACTCAGAATCGTTCACATCAATCAGACTCAATTATTCAGAATTTGCGCCTTTGTGTGACAGATTGGCAAAGCCAAAAAACACCATACCTGAAACTCAGCGCGAAAAAACAAAGCAAACTCCCGTAAAAACCCGCAAACTCCCGCAACTTGGCCCCCCCCAAAAAAGAAACAATTTTCTGGAGAGTGCATTTTCAGAAAAGCGGTGGTATACCCACTTGAGTGCAGAGAGTTGCATAAGACAACAATACTTGTTTCCAGTTGTTAGCCCCAAGAACCACTATTTTGTTTGATTATCACTCCTGCCTTTTGCGAGCCGCTCCTGCTTTTGGATTCATGCATTTGAAACACCTGAAACTCCTATAACCCTGAGAACGGAAAAACAGAGAACAAACCCGGAGACAGAGGACCCAGGGTTTGT